CTTATAATCTCTCGAGCTGATCTTTGAAGGGGCTAAATGGTGATGGAAAGGTTGCATGTGCTGAATAGTGAGAAACTTTAAGTGGAGTGGGTGGTAAATTGGACTTTTTGTGGATAAATATATAGCAGCTCTGGTAGGATGTGGAAGGATGTATTTCTCCTTTTCTTCTCTATAGCTGGAGAAGATGCATGCATTTTGGTTTTATTAAGCAAGAAGGAAAAGAATAGGGGTGTTCTGTTTGTTTTGTTTGCAAATCCAAAGGTTCTTTATCAGTCTTTAAATAAGGGCCCCACTGCATTAGAGAAAAATTCTGTATTTCAAAAAACATATTCCCACAGGTAAATCCTCCATCGAAACTAAAGATTACATTGTTCCCACTGCATCTTAAGCTTTCTCTGGCCTAACAATGACTGTCAGTGCTTACGGGTTCTAAAATGCTCTTTATTAGCATGTTTGCATCTTTCAGAACAAAAATAAACAAACAATTTAGCCTGTACATTTACAGATTTGTGCACACATACTAATTGAGAACAGAATAGCAACCAGTGACAGCTCTGTGCAAATAGATATGCTTTGGCATCCAGCTATGCAAATAGCTCTACAGCCCAGCAAATTCTGAAAAGCATTAATTGTGGCACTGCGACTGTTGCATGGCAACCGTTGTGTTTGTACAAATGACAGATACTGCCCTTTGAATTTTCTCCTCCCTGATACTTGGGGGGCAAGATGGATTAAGAAGCAGTGACAACTGATCTGGGAAAGCTGTACAGGTGCTATGGGTACCCAAAGTCAGGGGACAATATGGTTCAATCTGCTTACAGATGATCTCCAGCTTCTTACATTTTATGTTCAATGTTTGCTTGTTTTTTAATGGATAGGATGGCAGTCATGAAAAAGGATGCAGTTTCAGTTCTCTCATCCACATTTCTCTCCCACCTGCTTGCAAAGCAACTTTCTTGTTTAGAGTCACGACAAATGTGGGTGGAAATTGAACAAAAGAGACCAGAGTCACAAGCACATCCTTTTTTCATAATGCTGTCTTTGTCAAAGAGGCAGTAGTCTTCTTTAAGTGTGGACAACCTCAACTGTATCCTCATTCCTTCTAATAAATCATGACTGCAGTACCTATGGCAGAATCAAATAAATGTTTTTAGCACATCTCTTGTTCATTTGAACTGGGTGGATGTATAAAGTATGCCCCTTCAGATATTGTTTGATTGCAGCTCCCATGAGTTCAAGCCAGATAACCAAAGGTGAGGAACGCTAGTGATTCCAGTCCATTAATATTTGGAGTGCCACACTTTATCCAGTCCAATTTTAAACACTCAGTAAGTAATTATTTCAATGAATAATATTAACCCTCTTGAGGCTGCAACTCTAAGTGCACTTACTTGTGAGCAGGTTCCATTAAAATCAGTTTGACTTCTAAGTAAATATATATAAGATTAGTCCTCCAAATTCCAAATATTTCTTTAATAATTAGAATCTAAGTACTTTAACAAATGGAAGTTGGCAGGATCAGGGGAATGGTGGTAAGAAACCATGACCCATGAATTCCAGTCTGAGTGCCTAAATATGGCAGCATTGTGTAAGCAAGTAGACAAGTTAAAACATGAGAGAGTTATTCACCCTGTGAGAATGCCTTTTCAGGATTTAATTTAGGTGAGATCTACTGATCAGAGTTTCTTGTTGTGATTTTGGAGTCTTGTTTAAAGTTCATTTTCTTCTTTCTTCATATCGAAATGAAGTATAAAATTAGGGAAAGGTAGTGAGAGGACATTACTTCAAGAGCACCATCATTTTGGAACATCTGCTTCTGAAGTGCACCTTACTTTTACTCCCCTTATACATATGAGTTCATCTTTCTGATTTAACCACCCATGTTTTCTGGCTACGACTATAATTCTAAGCATACTGAATGTGGTGGGATATTCCATTGAAATTTGTGAGTCAAGATTACCTCTGTGTAGACATGTTCAGGATTAACCTGCAATTGCTTTGTAGGGGTATGTTCTATGTTTCCAACCCTCCTTCTGTTTGCTTTGTCAAAGAACTCTTCTGATTTCTTCAGCAGTACTTATCAGTCCGCCCAATGAACATATCAATTATTTGGGTGTCTTGATTTAAGCACTGAAATTCAGTCGGTAGCCACACCTAGGATAGACACTGGCTTAACCTTTAGAGTTGATTCTGCTCTGGTTGGAACTGGGAACCAGAATATGAACTAAAACTTAGACATATTTCAGATGCTGTTGCAAGTCAAAGCACAACAGAAATAGAAAAAGTCCAGAATAGATGCACAATAATTGTCCTATAGTTTGTGCTATAGTAAGAGAAGAAGAAACGGGAAAATGTGGATTTTCTGAATTGATAATCTGGATTATATGGCTGTGTAGAAGGGGCTTTACAGGTAATCAGGGGTTTAGTTCTTTCAGGAAAAAAACTGTGTTTGGAATGTACACTCTCAAAATATATGATCGGATGTTTCTCCATTGAAAGCAAGCCATATATCCCAAAAGAGAAGACTGGCATGTCTGGATGCAACTTACCTCCATGGCATCTAGTTTTTGAAAGGCCAGGAATATGTTTGCATGATAGAGCATTCTGTTATTTTGGGGCACCCCCCACCCCAGAAGTTCAAGGAGATATAGCCTAGAAGCAGGTTTATGATTTTAGTTGCTGTTTGTAAAAATTAAACTTAAATCCTCCTGAAAAGTTAGCAAATGTTTTCTTCCATTTGGAGATCTAGGATTAGTAGTAAGTCAAATGATCACAGTTGGTCTCAAATATAATCAAACCATCTTGCTGTGTGAATGAGCCTTGCACTCATATGGTCTTCTTCTCTCACATCTCCAATTCAATTAAATATTTCCCTTTAGGACACATTTCAGTTTGATTTTATATTTGAATGCAAACTATGGTCTGTGCTTTCCCTCCAGATGTGAAGGCGCTGTGGATGAGTAGCTAGTTCACACGTAGCGGCAAAGTGTAATTTGTGCTAAAGAGGAACTAACTAATTGAAAGGATTAAGGGGAAGGGGACAGCAGGAGCACAAATATTGTGTACCTAGCATCAGACCACAGTTTGGAATTAATATCTGAACCTCTCCAATCTCCAATCTCCAACAAAATCAAATTTATAATTAATTTTATGACCCGATTTCTCTTGTTATATTGGTTGTCTGACTTGTCCCCATATGCTTTATTTACTGATAAATAGAAATGTTATCACAGAGGCTTATTTCAAAAATGTACTAATGTAGAAGCACTATGAGGTCTTAGTGTGTCTTGAGTTAGGTTTAGCCTTCATTTTAAATTATTTTTTTCTTAAGGGAGAATGTTTAACTATCTTACATAATTAATGGAAGAAAATTTTTTTAAACACCTATGAACGATCCAACTGTTGATTGAATTACCGTCAGTAGATATCACTACAACTATCTCTAGCGTGGCATATCAACTGTGCTAAAATCCTAACCAATTGATAGAGTCATAAGAGTTGGAAGAGACCACATGGGCCATCTAGTCCAATCCCCTGCCATGCAGGAAAAGTACAATCAAAGCACCTCCAACAGACGAGTAGCTATCTGCAAACAAAGAAGAGCCTGGCCATTTACTCTGGGGACAGGAGACCAAGCAGGAGATTGGCTAATTCTTGTCAGGATGTTTATGGGAGCTTTATTGTTCTTAGACCACCAAGTTGTTCTCACTAGCAGGTTAATCCATGCCCCACTCTTTTGTTCTATTTTGGATTGCCATCTTCTCCCATATTTGATGCGCCAATGATTCCAAATAGCTGTTGCAAATCTGTTTTTTTAAAAATTCATTAGTAGCGATTTATGTTGAAAGGGGAAGGGTTGGTTTCTGCAGCTAGTATATTCTATTTGCCAAAGTATTGGAAATGTAGCTATTACATAAATTAGATATTGCTAGAATATTAGTCTATCCTATATACTCATGGATAAATCTTGAAATTTTAGTCAAAAAACTGGGTGGACTTATCCACAGGTCAGCATGACTAATGTACCTTTAACCTTATCAGAAAAGGAACCATCCCTTTGAATAGAGTGGCCAAAGGCAAGATCTTAGTCTGTCCTGGGAGAATTTAAAGGAAGTACTCACCCCCACTACTCTCTCTGCCTTGGTACCACTTCTGGCCTTTTAGAATCCTGGTTGATGAAATGGCAGCAATAGCCAGAGTGAAGCAACATTGGTGCTTTCCCCTCTGCAGAATGACAATCGACTTATCCAAGGATCATATCAAAATCTATAATGTTGGCCCCTAAGCCTACTCAACCCTTGACTTATACATGAGGTAGATTTATACATGAGTTTACATGGTAACTCTATAAGAACTGAAACAATGGAAAAAGATACATCACTCTCCCTAAGCTTCTGCCCCCAGAAGGCAGTGGAACAATAAAATCTATTGGAGGATATTTTATTTATTTATTTCAACAATTTCTTTCTCCAACAAAATCTCCACATTTGGTGATTATGTAATAATCTAATACCAAAGACAATAACAATAATCTACTTCTGGGAATGTGTGTGCTGGGCATCCATTATCCATCAGTTTCATTACTGCAAAGAAGCCTAACTCCTTTGTGGACTGTGTATTCTGCCTCTGCAAAGTTTAGTGGCAAAACTAGGAAAGGATGGAATACTTTCATGGCTCTTTTAGCTAGTCTAAACTGTTTTTCCCCAACACAGATTTTCTGATCATAAGGCTGACCTGACAATAGATCCTCATATTTGGATGGCTTTTCAGTGGGCCAGAAAACTTGAGAGAGGTGACAGACTATTATGAGATTTGGCCTTTCAGCTGTCTATTCAGTTAGGAGAGTTGGAACTGTTGCCTTCCTAGAGTGTACCACTTTAGAGGAGAGTGTGTGAAGGAGAGAGAAAAAAGGAGAGTGTGTGTGAAGGATTTTCATTATTGAAGTGATTTGTTTGTCATTCATTTTACTGTACTGACTCTTTGTCTTTTCCTCTCTCTAGTGAGAATTCAGCAGATGCAGTAGCAATAGATTCTCTTGGCCAGCAGAAATCTCCATTGGAAAAATTTATGGTCAGACTGTGCGCATATCACCAGAAGCATTTCGTCCGTGTCCTGAATGACATATGCACTGAAGTACAGACTGGTTGTGAGGAGCAGCAGTTACTCGAACCTGAAAATATGGATGCATCTACTTGTAGCTCTGGCTGTAGCCAGTATCACACTGAGAACCAGGACATTGGAAATTCTTGCTCTGAATCAAAACTCCCTTTATCTTTTGACCCAGAGCAGTCGGGGCCTCATGGCTCCCTGCGCCTACTATGCCATGCCCTGAAACAGGCTGTTGATCTCAAATCTACTGACAGAAGAGAAAACTGTAGCTCTGTGGTCAGAAGGGATTTCCCTGAGCTTCCTAACATCAAAGCAAGTTCTGCAAGTCCCAGAGACAGTCCCACTCAAGGATACCTCACTGCCTCCAACTCCCATCACTCTGCTAAAAGCCTAGAAGGACAGACCCCTGGTAGTGAGCAAGAGATAGGGTCAAGGAAAGGTGAAGATGACAAAGAACAAATGCAAAGCAGAGCTTTGCTGGGAAGCTACATTGCTGTGAAAGCAGCAAATGTAAACACTAGTGAGGATAGTCTGGAGTGTCGCGTGAGCTCCCAAAAGAATGCTTTCAAAGCTTTTCCAGAGGAGATGCGAGAATCGGCTTTCACCACAAGTTCCCCCCGCAGAGCTGACAAGGAGAATGCCTTGCAGTGCAGCTCCAAAGCCCCTTTGCACCAAGATACTGAAATAAATGACCAAGAAATGAGACAGAAGGTAGAGAACCATCACCAAACTTCAGGGAAGAGCAAGGGGAGCTACCATGTACATCCTGTTGACAAGACCCGTGTGGAGAATGCCAAAGATGCTTGGCTGCCCACAAATTCCATGCCAGTGGTCCACCACAAAGCTACCAATGGACACCCTAGGTCCAAGAACATCTCAGCCTCTTCAAAAAGCACCCGTAAGAGTAAAAGATCTTCAGGACTCAGAATAAATGACTATGATAACCAATGTGATGTTGTTTATATTAGCCAGCCAATTACAGAATGCCACTTTGAGAACAGAAGGATTGTGTCATCTAGGAAGACAGCACGGAAGAGCACCCGTGGCTACTACTACAATGGTGAATGCTGTGAGCTTCCCACGGTTCGCACCTTGGTCAAAGCCTCTCAAATACAGGAAAGTGGGAGCACCCTGGCACCACGGTCTGAGGTGCTAACAAGCTCTTGTCAAGGAGTCACTCTTTCAGGGTGTAGCTACTTGGCAACAGTCCAAGCTATAACTGCTGATGGTGACAAAAATTCTTCCACTGTCACCCTCTTTCAGGAAGATCCCTCCATCAAAATATCTCAGGAAACAGTTGAATCATGTCCAGCTGAGAGTATCCCTCCTCTGACCAGTTTGTTGAAGCAGATATATGTTGGTTCTACTGAGGCATCCACAGTGGATCTCTCTTTACTTCCTCGTCTTGTTCCGCATAAAGAAGGCAGCTTGTCTGTATCTTCCCTTCAGAACACTGTTGTCCCTTCTTCCTTGCAATTGAGTGAAGGGGAGATGCATGATAAAACTGATACAGACACTGTACAACAATCTGCTAGTGACACTGAGCCGTGTAAGAGTAGTGAGCCTAATGAAAACAGTGATGGTGCATTCAATTCTGATCTATTCTCTGTCTCAGAACCTGTTCATAGTGAAGAAAGTACTCCGTGCTTGGACAAGGTGATTACCCAAGAATCTTCCATTTGTACAGACCAGGAGCCTCCTGTTACCTTGATGACATCAGAAGAACATGAAGAGAAGTTTGACTTTTTACCTCCATTGGAGGAACCTGCTTCTCCTGCAGATTTGCCACCATGCATGGAACCCCCACCACTCTCTCCTATAGGGCCACCACTCTCATCTATAGAGTCCCAGACAGGACCTCCTACTCAGTTAGTCAGTCTGGAGCCTTCTAGAGCCTCTCCTAGAGATCTATCCACTATATCAGAGCCTGTGTGCTCTGAGGAAAATGTTGCTAACTCAAGGGTAGCATCCCCTGTGGCACTGCTTGAGAGTGTGACCCATACTATTGACCCAGAGCCTTCAGAGACTCTTCCCATAGAATCTGCAATGGTTTTACCAGACAAGGTGGATTCAGAAATCCCTCAATCTCTTTCTGACTTAGATGCAACAGAGGACCCAGCCAATTTGCTGTGTGCTAATGCACATGAAAACATTAACACTGAAACCAATACCGAAGGTTCTCAGGGTTTGGAGGAAGGCCTAGAGGAGGAAAACCTCACTGGGAAATGTGAACCAGTGTTGCCTGTTTCAGACACCAGTGACAGTTGGAGTGAAAAGACTGTAAAAGAAGCATGTACGATTAGTAAGCCAGCTGAGGAAGGAGTAGTTGAGAGCAGCACTGCATCAACATTCAAAATATCAAAAATGTGCAACAAAGAGGAGGCTTCGCCCCAACCAAACGTAGACAAAAAACGAAAGAGGGAGAAAAAACTTCAAGTTGCATCTGATCGCTGTCTTCGAAGCCAGCAATCGCTGTTGCCTGAGGGTGACAGTACTGAGCAGTCCAGTTCTTCCAACTCTCTACAGCTTCCTCAATTACAGATTAAGCTTTCTAAAAATCCTGGCACTAAGCGCTTTAAGAGAGAAGTTCATCTTGATGGGGCAGCATCTGTGTGTGTTCCAAGTGATGGAATCCATAAAACACTGCTCAATGACATCACAAGCACTGAGAAGCCACCGACAGGTGGGGAAAGTGACATCACAACAGGGGAGACCCATAAAACATTATTGACAATAGAGGAAGGTCAGGATGAAGAAGGTAATAAAAGTAAGCCAGGAGCAATGCTTGAAATCTGTTTAGAGGCAAGTTCTGATAAGAGAAGTGTTCATGTCCCCATAGGAACCTCTGATAAAAGAGAAAGGGAAACAAATTTGAAGCCAGAAGTTCCAGAGAACTCTGAAAGTACTATGGATACTACAAAGACATTGCACACCCAGTGTGAGACTAGCAATCCCCTATGTCCTGGGAACAGGAGTGGAAGTAAAAATGCAACATCAGAGAAGGCAGTCAAATACAAGAAGCCAGCCCTCCAGTTTTATAACTTGCGACACAGCCCTGCGCCAATTCATGTGGCCACTGCTTCCAAAAACATGCCAGAGAAGGAAACTACACAAGAAAAATCTGATACTGTAGACATACAAAGTGCAGGAAATGAAGACACCATTGACTTTAGTGATGTAGAGATGCTATCTGACAACAAACCCAGCTTTGTAGACTGGTGCGCTGAAGACGAGAACCAAGAACTTATCACTAACTTTAATACCCAATACATGAAAACCCAGAAAGGGTGGATTCAGTTGGAAAAGGAGGCCCAGCCAGCTCCAAAGGTCAAGAATAAGGCTGACAAGCTTAAAGAGATTTGGAAAAGCAAAAAGAGGACTCGGAAGTTCAAAGGAGCTACTGAAGTCCAGAAGCTCTCACCTGTTCAAATGTTGTTCATGAAAGCGTTTGACTTATCTAATATCTGTAAATGGTTTATGGAGACAACTGAAACCAAGTCTCTGGTCATTGTGAAGAAGATGAATACCCGTCTCCCAGGAGACATGCCCCCCATCAAGCTTCCACTCCAAAAGGGCTGCTCTTCCTATCCCAGCTCACTTCAAGCTGAGCGTCTAAAGAAACACCTGAAGAAGTTTGCAGCCATGACGCCAGCAAAAAATACCATAAAGACTCAGAGGTTGTTGGCTAAGCTTCGAGAGAACACTGAGGAAATTGAGGAAGAGCAAGATGCCAGTCCAAAGCAGACACCCTCTTCTGAAATAAATTTGGAGAATGAGATCCAAGCTAAAACAGCCCAATCCCCAGTTAGTGCACCAGTGCAGACCAGCTCACGGATTTTAAGAAAATACTCCAACTTGCGTGGCAAACTTCATGGCTTCCACAAAACTGTCAAACGGGAGAAGAATGACTGTGTGTCAAAGCATCCGTCAAATGAAAGCAAGGCAAACAGCAAGAGCTTGAGCATTAAGCCTCTGATGTCTCCAAAACTGGCTCAGCAGGTCAAAGCCTCTTCACTCCCTACTAAATCTAATCTGGCTGAAAAAGGAAAAAAGGTGAGAAAGGGGAAAGACAGATCACAGGAAGTCACTCTCTCTAAAGGCAACTTTCAGCAAAGCAAAAAGAAGGCACTGAATGAAAGCAGCAAGCCCCAGAGCTCTTCAAGCAAAGAAAGTATCCCTCTTAAGAAAGGTAGTAAATTGAAGCATGTGGAATCACCTACGACTAAGAGGCAGCCAGCTATGAAGAAGAATAGTAAACTTGCATCTCAGAATGAGAAGACAAAAAAGCTGATTGATTTGCGACCTGGAAAAGGGAAGTCTACCACCCAGAAGGCAAAAGTGAATAGCAGTCAAAAGGTCACTCCCCAGTCTTCCAGACCAGAAGGGCCTGCTAAACCCTTAAAGCAGAAAGTGGGGCAGGACTCCTCCAGCCGGTCTCAAAAAGCATCTACAAAAAAGGCAGCCAAGGGCAAAACTCTCACTAAGCCAGTGAAACAAACGCAGGAGAACAGCAAAGGCCAGAGTAAGAAGAAGCTGAGAGCAACAAAAGACTCTCCGCCCAGCAAACGTAGACGGATGGATGCAAAGTAATAGGCTTGGGTTGGATGGGAGATCAGATGTAGAAACCCTTCCTCGAGCATTAAGGAATCAGTTTATGAACATGGGAGTTAGCTGGAAGCTGTCCCTCCCTCACTGATTCTGAGATGTTCCCTAGCTGTACTGCAGCCAGACAACAGCCTTCTCTGTTGCTGAGAAGGGAAGTTACTGCTTCTGAAAGTTCCTAGCATTACACTGGGAACCAGGCAGTTTCAGTTTAAAGTACAGTGCCTTATTTATCCCCTTAGGAAATGAATAAATTAGTCTGTATGATTTAAAGGCTGGCAGTTTATAGTTAATGCACAAGCACTTGTACTGTCATGGAAAGAGAACCACCTTTCATGCACATCCCATAGACGGTGAAAGCCTGTCTGTTGGGGTTCATGCAGGAGCATTTTCTTCCTTTGAAGCAATGAAGTATCATGGCACTGCTTAGTCTGAGGAAAGGATTATAAAACCTAAATGGTTTTCATACTTCAATGCTATTTTTTACTCAGAGAGGTCATATTGGTGTATTTTATTAAGATGTTCACAATTGTCCATATTATGTCATTTTTGAATAGAGAGTTTGGCTATTACCTAACATGACTCTTGTGTCACAAAGATAATATTTCAGCACCATCTTCAAAAATGGCAACATGCCTGGCAAACTTTGCTTGCTTGGTTAGAGAATATTGCCTACCACCTGCCCATTCCCTGCCACTTTTGACGTTTCCTAAAGACCTGTATTTTAAAGAACAATTTGATTGCATTTCAGAATGGTTATAGTTCTTCCTGTTTTATTCTGAGACTCATTTATGAATAACCTTGAAAGATGGGTGGATATCTCAGCATGAAATAGATGAGTGTATAGCTGTTTGGTTGCATCTTAACATGTGGGTCCCAAGATAGAACACATGTAAAGAGTAATGTTGGAAGGTGCACATAGAGGCCCTTTTCTGCTGTAGGCCTCTTTGCTTTACTTTTCTATGGAGTCATTGCAAATCCTTTTTACATACTCATACTTTTTAAAAACAAGAATGGAGCAATGCTGCCAGTAAAGAAGATAATATTGGAAATATCTGATGCTTTTCTAAGCGGAGTTGGATTGCAGCTTAAGTTGAAGCAGATTCTTGTTCTGAGGAGCTGTAAAGTCCAACTCTCTAAATACTCCTATGTGTTTCACCTATTTTTGTCCTCACCTTCCGAGTTGAATTATGTAAAGCTCAAGAAGTCATCTCTCATCACACAAGATACTACTGTGAAAGCCTGTTAGAAAGCAAACAGTCCCTTTCCAGTGCAAACATTCATTTTGGATCCAAGAAAAGGAAAGCAGCATTTTCTCAGAGGAAACTTCCTGTCCAGTACGCTTTGTGCTACCAATGTGTTAGTTGACTGTGGTTGCTTCCGCTCTACGTAATGCTGCAGATAAGAAACAAAATCCAGCCTTTTATTTATTTCTCTAGTTTCTCTTTAAGCCACAACTAAGGCTAAGCTATTTGCTTAGAAACTTGTGCAAACTTCCATGTCTTAGCTGTATGTGGCACCCAAGAGCTTCCTGTGAAGGCCTTCGAATTGCTTGACCTTTTAGAATATCTCTCCGTGGATACCATCTGAGATCAACGTACTCAAACACATCTTTTACACATTTTTATATTAACTGGCTTGAGCCGGTCTTTTCAGTTGGTGAAGAATATATTGAATAAAAGGAAAACAAACTCTTCAGGGAGAAGAATGAAGAAGGTTTACGTGTGAGAAGATTGAATTTTTTTTTAAGGAGGGAGGTTGCATTAGCCTTGGCACTCCTATACCAAAGCTCATTACTGCAGGCAGAAAATGGATAACTAGCTGTGTAGATTTTTTTCACTGATCAAAGAGACTGGAATTTGACTTTGGAAAATGCAAAACCCTCCTGCTCACTCAAGGCTGTGGATTGAGAGGGTGCACTAAAGCTATAAGACACATCAGGGTGGACTCTTTTTTATGAAATATTTTTAAATCATTGATTTTTAACACCTCTCGTTTCATTTAAACCATGCTGTATAAAATTAATTGTTGTAAGCATTAAGTCAGACTTGGCATTCTCTTTAAAGGGCGATACAGATGTGTGTGATTGTTTTTTGAACTGTGGATAACAAGTGTGTTAGACATTCCACCAGGAGTATTAAAAGGTATTTAAGGAAGTGTGTGAACTTGTGTGAGAGAGAATGAAGGGCAAGCTTGTCAAATGTTCATGTCTCCTTTTTCTAACTTTCTATTTCTGCATCCATAGAGATGTGTAAATCTTTCTGCTCCCTCTACCCAGGGCTGCTTCCTAACACTATGCTGGGTGGTTGGGGCACCTTGTGGTACTTTCAGCTAGTGATTTTGATCCAAACGCTTCCTAATAAAACCTTTCTTCCACTTTTGTCTGTCCCATTTCTTGTGTGGCCTATATTCTAAAATAATTATTTTGTAAGACTTGTTTAATATGCCATATTTATCTCTATTTTCAGTAACCTGCTTGATAGGCAAGTTGCCTATGAGAAGTTGGAATATACTTACAAAGTTTTGCTCAGGTCCTGAGACAGTAGCTAGTATCACCAGTTTTGGTCCATCTGTGTGGAAGGCATGATAAAAGGAATAGGTCAGCTGCAGGCCCATTTAAGTAAAGAAATCTAGCCAATGTTGCTATACTGCGTTCTTTTTGGAACATGTATGGTTTTCTTTTGTGCCATGCAGCCTGTCTAGCTTCTTCTTAGATGAAGAGTTGGTAATCTCTGGACCAATAGAGACTTCTCACATCCCTCCTTGTAGAAGAAGTAGGTCTTTCGTGAAATAAAAGAACTTAGTTATATGGTTTAGACTTTGTAATGTTATAAATTTCTTCCAATTCTTGTTCTGGAGAAGTAAAGCAGGAATACGATGTCTGGGGACAACAAATGTACTCTGATAATATTCCCCTTTAGTGTGTTGGAAAGAAAAGATTTGGTTCACAGGTCCTCTGTTCACAATTATCTTTATGCTCTAACCAGTGTGCTTGGTGAGGAATCTGCTGCCAGGTCTACAAATGTAGCCAAGTCAGGGTTGATTAGATCTTTTGGCTTCCATGTTGGGGCACTCCAGGAAAAATGTGGATGACCTTACTTATTGGAGAAGACTTCACTCAGAACCATTTCCCCTTCTTCAGACTGTAGTTCATAATTGTTCTCACCCTTCCTTTTATTGTTCCTACTTTGTTTTTAAGAGGAATCCTTTTCTGCCTTGGTAGAAGAATCTTGGCCTGCTTTCTTGAAGATTGCTTTGCTGTAAACCTTTCCCAGATCTTATACACCAAATGAATAATTTCAGCCTTTTTCTTGCTGTGGGATTCTTTTTCTAAATTTTCCCTGTTGCCTACATTCTGTGCTTTTTTGTACAAATTATAGTTGATCGGTCTAACTCTCCATGCCAGTTGAGATCATCTGAACCTTCTTCCCATAAAGAGTGCTTCCATTTCTCATGCTTCCATTTTTCTCCAGTTGCCATATTTACAGTCAAGCTCTTGATGCTTTTTGCCCTGTTATTGTGCATTTTGTTGCTTTCAATTCTTTCTAATGAAAGTTGCCTTATCTTTTATTTCTGGAGCAGCCTCCACCTGCACGCAGTGTCAAAAGAAATGCTGTGCTTCTACATATATGTTCACAACATGCACAAACAATATCTGTGTGAACTGTTACTCTGAACTCTGCGTGCTGGGTAGCTGATGCTACTCTGAATATTTTATTTAAAGCTCTCTTCTTTCTTGCCAAATTTGGTGCCGGCATACATATTTTTTGATGTGGTTAAAATAGTTTTGTTTCTCTTTCAAGTTTCTCTTTATTTGGAATATGTTAGCCAACAAGGCTGTTACAAAGGCTGTTCATTAAGCATTTATGATTGTGTGTAGGGACTTCCTGGCCAAGTTTTCCTAATCACATAAATGTTTTCTTAGGTCCTTGGCTTCTTATGATAAGGATCCTACTTCTGTTTACCTCTTCAAAGGACATAGTCATTAAATTGTCTCATTTTCTTTAATTAATAACCAGGCGTTTAAAAATACCTGAACTTTGGTTCTCTCAGTACCTATAGTACAATTCTGATAGGATGTGAGCAATGCCCAGATGACCATGTTTGTAACCATTAAGAAACACAGCTGATCAGCAAGGAATTATTGAGCCAAAGGGAAATAAAATAGAGGCTGTTTATTAAATTTGTGGTTGTCTCTTACATTTTACTATAAATAGAACTATCTACTTAATGTCATCTGTTCCCCTAGTTGCCGCATGCTCACCAAACAGAAGCAAACAGTCAGAAATCTATAAACAATTGGCTGCAGACCTGTGTCCCACTAACCTATAACACCCACCTCTGTCCTTACTTGGTATCCTTGCTTAAATCTGTTTCTGTCCCCATACAGTTGGTCTGCCTGCCTTTTCTGTGGGAGTGAGAATGGAGCAGTCTGGGCCCCTAGCCTGGAAGGTCCTATTCATTATCCCAGTTTGTTTCCTCAAAGAACTCAATGTCAAATTTCTTTAGGCCGCTTGGCACACCCTTGTCTTGCTGCACAGAAATAATGTCCTGTGTCTCCTCATTTTGGCACTGATAATCAGGGCTAAACAAAAGGTTGCAAGTTTTTCACATATTGTAGTATATACTTTCCTGTTGCTCTGTTGTCATGTATTTTCTTTCGTGTCTATGTATTTAGCTATGTAGTTGTCAAAAAACCCCATTTATCCATTTGAAAATGATCTCAGGAGTTTTCATTCACATTGAGAGGAAGGTCTTACAGATTCTTTTTTGAATTGTCACTCCAAATCATTCTCACATAATAGTGAAAATGAATTGAGTCTGAATGTTTTTGTTACTTGTGTGTGACCTGTTACCTTACGTGGGTCTTTTACACTGCCCTGCTATCAAGTGTCTTCTGAGAATCTGCTTTTTGTGTATTACTTTCAAATGCAATATGAATATATGCGTATATGTATATGTGTCTATAAATATATATATGAATAGTAGTTGCTATGTTAACATAGCATCCAGCTAGCAGTTGAAATGCATTCCTAGGTGCAGGGTAAATGCTGTCTTCTCTCCCCAGGCAGTCACAGAAATAGAAAAAATACTATTGTAAATATTTTTATAATATTTATTTCCTGTACTTTGTGCTAATGAATCTTGGTTTGTAATATAATAGCATGGAATAGAGAATGTTTCTTGCTCCATCCAGGTATAATTGGACACAGGGAAAAAGACTGACAACTGGTCTTGAATTTATGCTGCAAAATCAAGGTCCTAGTTCTGAGATGGTAAATCTGTTTGAATTATAACACTTCAGGTTTATGCAACTGTGTATTCCTTTACTCTTTGTCTGTGTGTGTTTATGTGTCTAAATATAGAATACAAATATTGAAAATAACTACTGTAGTCCCGCCTGCCTGATATGCTAGATTTCTGTATGCAAACAATGGTTGAGATTCTACATAGGGTGATAAACCATGAAGTTCCAGGCAGGTGAAACACAGCTCCTCCTCTCTTCTTTCCTTTCTGGAGTCATATGTTGACTATGCCCCAGCTCCCATCTGCCACCATTTACTGGCTGGTGAAGGACTGTGAGTGGCAGAGAAAAATCTCAGTATGTACAATAACAAAGGCATCATCTGGAATCTCGTAGGAGTCCTCCAGAAGTCATGGAAGAACATGATTTATATATTTTGGAATACAGAGACCTAGCAAGATGTTTCTCTGCCATAACAGACACCCCACTCCCACACACAATGTCCATCAGCCAACATATGGTCATGTTGAGGGAAGCTTCAGAGAACAAGTTAGTTTTGAGGGCATGGTGGTGGGCTTTCATCTACAGTCTGAAGTCAAGACAGCACAGACATGGATTTACCATCTCAGAGCTATATCTCAGTGGAGTAAAAACATTACATGCTCCCCCCTCCTTCACCTTTTTTTTTTTTTTTTACTATGGAAATAAGTTGAAATTCTGAGCAGCCACAGTTTTGGGTAATCTGCCTCATCATGGGCACATTTGGACACAGTACAAGTGAGCAATAAGATTCTTAGTGATAATGTTTTCACTGCTAAAGCAGTATCAAAGTACTGATAAGGATGGTTGTATGTGTGTGTGTCTTTGTGTGCATTTCTCTTCAGTAGTTCTGCCACAGCATCTCCATATTTATGCACCATTGCAAAAAGTAGTTTCTAAGTCTTCCCTGGTGTATTCATTGGACTCATGGACTCTGTGATACTATGCCTATGCTGGGCATACTATGAGGGCAGTGCCAGTAAGATAAAGAAGAAATATCATGGTGCCTTCTCTGCCTTTTGCAGCTGGACTGTCATAATTTCTTGTGTTGTGTGATCACCCACTTACTGTGTCCATTGTTTTTAGAAGATTAGGCTAATCCTTCACCACACCCTAAATTCCCAATTGCTAGGCAACAAAGTTGTTTCACTTTTCTTTGGGTTCTCTCTGAATTTACCTTTGTCTTTGGGATTATTAATATCCACCTGTTTGTTCCCTTTTGACATATCCTAGGTCGTGTTCTGCAATTTAGGGGGTCATTGTCTTCTACTTAGATCTCCTTGCCTTTTTTGGCTTAAGGTGGAAAAGTGTGGAAGTTTCTAATGTCTTTTCTCTTTACATAGATCATTCAGAGCCCTTTTCCTCTGTTTTCTACCAAAAACAATTGAGAACCCCATCTGATGAGATTATGTGATTTCTAACCATTCCTCCTCTACCTGCATCCTCTCTTGCCAATCAAATAACTCAGGCCTGAATTTCCGATAAAAGTATCAAATGCTGTTAAAGAAGAGTGTTGGTTGTAGTTGTGATTTTCTGTAACCAGCTCTTTTCACAAGGGCCTTTGGGTGAACATCTTGAGCAGTTTACAACCTCAATTAATGTGGTGCATAGAATGAACCCATAGATGTGTCATTTCCTTTTAGCTTGGTTGTTCCTAGGGGTTTCCTGCATTGTTATTGTCTTCTTCACTTGGCGTTCTTCACAGCTAAGGACTCTTTCTCTAAGAGTCCTAGCTAACATCTGAAGAACCAAGTGTTGAGCATACTTCTCCTTCGCTCCCACCAGCTCTCCAACCAGTCTGATTCTCTGTAAGTCTTCCAAATCTAGTGTGCAATCAAATACAATGACAAGGGCACCTGGAAAGTTTCAATTCTATTAATTTTCTTTTCTTTTCAGGGCACTAAGAAATGCTGTGATTTTAGAAAAAGAATATGTCTGCTGTGAATTGTTGATAAATGTGTAATTAGATCATGTTCTATATACCTCGTCCAAATTACATCAGAAAATGTACTTTAAAAATACAGGTTATATTCAGTTATTTCCTAGTCATTCAGCCTACTTACCTACAATAGCTAGACTATTTTGACATCAGATTTTACCAAAATTTTGATTACTTATATGATAGTATCACGTTTGGAGTGTGTTTGGTGTGTGTTATTTTCTTGACTTAACCTTTGGAAGATTGTGTGTTCTTCTTACTGATCTCTGGGCCCCATCTGAAATTTAGACTTTGTCTTCTGCTTCTGGAATCCGCCCCCCCCCCCTTTATGCTTTGTTATGTACATTGTGTGCTCTAAGGGTCCTTGCTTTATTGCGGCTTATTAAACACTTTTATATCAATATTGGTGTGGTGTGATATAGTTTATAATGCTCAACCCCTTGGTTGTCTATAACCTCCAAGCGATCCACAGAAGGGATGTCTGCTATTCAAGAATACCATGCTTTGTCTTGCACTCTTTTCTTGACAGAAATTGAAGCCTTTTCTACACAAGGCTCCAGGTTACATCCTGCTTTGGCCCCTATAATTTTCCTAATGTGGCAGTGGTGCAATCTTATTTTCTCTAAAATATATACCAGTTAAAAGCAACTTTACTGAATTTGATCTCAAGCTGGAGCTATATCAGACATCACACCCAGCTTCACCAAAGCAAGCATAGCCTGCTGCATTAGAAGAGCAACTTCTCCTATTAAAATATGAGTTATGAATTATGTGCTTTGATGTGTGCCATTGTTAACCCAAGAAGACTTTATGTATTTGAGCCTTTCTCAATGCCTTACGTTGGTGATACAAATGTAGAAGAGATGAATAGCAGCTCCTTGTAGACCACTTCTTTTGAGCAAATCACATATACTCTTTATTCTGGAGCGCAAGATGGATATGTGGCAAAGTCAATTGGTGGTAGTATCAACATACCCCAAAAAGAGTAAGATTGAGGATTAAATCATTTAAAAGTACCCTGGAAAGAATAGGATTAAAATGCAATAATTTTAATTCTGTGAGTATAGTATTTAAGGTATCACAGGAATGTAGTTCAATGGAGTGGAAAAAGCTAAAAAAGTTGAGGAAATCCTAATACAGGTTGGTATCTCTTATTCAAAAGGCTTGGGACCAGAGGTATTTTGGAATATCTGTATTTGCATATATGTACATAATGAAATGTGGAGATGGTACCTAAGTCTAAACACAAAATTAACGCATACTTCATGTGTACCCAAAGCTATATATTTTTCATAATTTTGTGTATGAAACAAGTTTGTGTACATTCTCAAGTCTGTTTATCTCAGCCAGTCATGTGGACAGTTCTGTATTTTGGATTTTGGAAATCTGGGTAAGGGATGCTTGACCTATATTCCTTAGGATGCAAACATGACAATTAAAGCAGCGTGAAACTGATCACCGTGCAGTGTAGATCCACCTCAAATGTCAAAGGATCTGGGTGCAAAAGGGCAGTGTAATCTTTTAATTCAGTATGCTCATTTATGCAAACTAATAGTTTAATAGTGTCCTAGTGCTGCATGCTGATTGACATATTAAAATTTCAAGAGACAGATAGTTCTCTTCCCCTCAAAATTGAAGTGACTGGATTGACCTTGAAGGAGCTGGGGGTGGTGATGGCAGATAGGGAGCTCTGGCGTGGGCTGGTCCATGAAGTCACAAAGAGTCGGAAACGACTGAACGAATGAACAACAACATGTGTTGGGCATGGGAGCAGCAAGAGCCAGGTGGGTTTTGAGCAAGGTTCATAAGTGCCACTCTAGCTGGATGGAACTTGATGCTCCATTTCCCATGCAGGATTTGGGCTCTGTATGGATTCTGTTCATTTAAGGCAGGAAAACAAATGTGTTCTAAATAATGTTTAAGCAGGCACATTTGTACTCTTGAACACAAAGGTAATTCCCATTGGATGTATGAATATTACAATTACATCCCTATATACATTGTGCAGTCCAAATAGTAAAAACACAGGCACTGCTTGGTATAGTTACCTTCTTGTAACTAGAGCGCAAAACAGAAGAGCTCTACCACTTCCTAAACGTCATTGATGTTAAAAGAGAGGAGCAAAACGGATAGTGAAGAGGAGGCAAGTGTTAACTACCATGCTTCCTTCTAAGAGAAAGTTAAACAGCAGTGGTTTCATTCAGACTGTAGTTCTGGCAGAGAGCAGGAAGATAATTATTTGTTAGGGGAGCTGAATTCCTGTCATGTTCATGTGGAAGACAATATGGACAATACTTTTAAAATCACCAAAAACAATACTGCTGTTTCGAAAATAAAAAGGACAACCATAAGCCCCCCTCCTCTTGTGCCAACCCATCATAAACCTGCATCTTCATAAGAATGGTAAGTACCACTACACCCAATTAGAAAACCGATGTTAGTTTGCAGATGGTATTAGAAGAACCTAGCAACACAGCACCCTTATAAGCATAGAAAAATACTATACCACACACAAATACAGTATAGAAATATATGTGATTCTATGTATTTGCTAGCAATAAGGGAGAAGAGACATTTCACATGTTCATCTGCAATGCCCTTTATGAGCTTCCCCTAGATGTGACAATTATTGGATTGTTCAGATTGTATCCAGTCACCAAAAGAAAAGCATTATTTCCAATAATGCTGTGACTTGGAATGTTAAGACTGAATAGTGAACCAACAAAAACGTAGTGCAGATTTCTGTCAAGGGCAAAAAGCAGATGGAGTTGTCACTTGTTTATGAGTCATCAAATGGAATTAGGCAGTACGTTTCTAGCTATACAATAGCAGGTAAATCAGGATATTTGGAGATCATTTTGACTCTTGGGCCAATGAAACACAGCTGGCAGATGAATTGATGCAACTTCCAAAGAAATCACTGAAAAATAGTTTAAACTGTAAATCTTTGTGTTCACTAACCATTTGCTTGGAATGTCAGCTTTTGAAATTGGTACTTTATAGCCCTTATTGATTATTGTCGTCTGGATCCTTAATGTGTAAGTATGAAGGGCTAAGATGGCCAGAATAAGTAGGTACATTGCTGTACGTAGCATATTGCTAAAATTGTTATCGAATAAAACTAGAATCCTGTAGCAGATGGGAAATGCTACCATAATCCCTGATTGGGCAGTCTTTGTCCATTTGGGGGCACTGTGCAAGGAAGTCTCCACAACCCCCTTGCATACTCCTCCCTGCTCCCAGCAGTGACTGCTACTCCCCAAGCTACTGATTGGATTTAGGCACAATCCACCTAAGGAGGAAAAACAATCTTATATTCTGGTTGGAAGCTGACCCATTTCCCTTGGGTGTTCATGCAAAGCCAGACTGAGCCTGGACACAGCAGTCAGCGGTGGGTGGGTGGGTAGGAAGAAGGCGCATTGAGAAGCATTAAACTTCTTTAGCACAGCTGGAATGGAAGTGACAACAAAGTAACTGGCCCCCTAACAATGACATAAGTATGCTGTCAGAACTGCTGTGCCAGCTTACTTACTATCAGCCAGAGTCTACTACTAAAATATATACTGCAGTGATAGGTGTAGTGTTAAAAATCAGGCCCCCCAATACTCACAGCCTGGCATGTGTAAATACTGGTACTGGAAACATGAAGCCTTAAGAAACTTCAAAAAATCCTAATTAGTTTATTTGTGTAATTGAAGCTAATTTAGGAATTTTACAAATGGAAGTTTAAAAACTGCACATTATCGGTGGGAGGAAAAATACATTTAACATTTCTGAAGCTTCTATAATAAATAGAAATTTGAAAAGATTTGGATGGCAAAACCAGAATGTGAATGTGATGGCACATATTAATGCCACTGGAAATTATGTTACATTCAAATGGATTTGGCTTCAATCTTGTTTTCCCTTTGGATGTGTCAGTAGATCTTGGTGGTCACAAATGCTTTTAGTACTAATAGAGAGATTATTAAACCCTTCTGCCATTCAGATTTCTTCCACTGACCCAACACCTCTTAACCTGCAGCAATGACGGATTAGCACAATTGCCACACAGCTGTACACAATGGCTTTCACATTGCTTTCTCCCATCCCAAAAATAGCATGGAGTTGACAAGTCTATAATCCAACCATTTAATACTTGAGACTGCCCAGTGAGCAACACTCTTCCATGAAGTTCCACTTTTCCTAGCTAGCATCTTAGTATACAATAAAACCTGATGTGCTATGAACCTGCACCCTGAGGTTGTCTCTCTTGCTAGAGCCAAGGAGCTGCTTTTCTAGGAGACCCTCATGGAGGAAATATCCATGTTTTAAGCAACAGGCACCTAGTTGAGGCTGCTGAGGTTGCCCTGGAAACTAGAACACAGGTACTGTCAAGGCCTTCAAGCTTCACGAGATCTCATCGTGTGGTCTCTCAGCAACTGTTTTCTTGCAGAGATATCAAATGAAAACTCAGAATTCTGAAAATCTCAGCTCTAGTTGTTTGAACAAAGGCGTTCCAAGCCTTCAAGGCTGGTTAGATACTTTAAAACCTCTGTCTGTAGAGAGATGATAAACATTTTCAATGGTCAGGACATATAATTTAATGTGTTCTATTTCTTTGCTCCTCCACCCCAGCAGAAACAAGAAAAAATATGCAAAAATAACCTGCAAATCTGCTCGACTGAAATTATCTGTGTAGATCTGAGAGTACAGCTCTTCCTGGTCATTTAACTTGCATTAGTGCAGACATTGTGTTTATCTTGGAATGGTTGGCCCACAGCAAGTAGAGAATGAAACTTTTTTTCTGGATGAGGCTACATCCAAAGTATCTTTGAGCAAACTCTTCTGTCCTGGGTCCATCGAAGTTAACCACTAACAAACAGGGATTCGGAGACGGAAAAAGAGGAGACACTGTCGGGTTAGTTTATTTTGAATGCCTAGATGTTGGAGAGCCACCTTGTTTTCTTAGATGTCATGGCACAGACCTAGTTTCGCCTGTGGCCTGGATGGGCAGAGTCTAAAGTTCCTACTTGATAGTCTGTGCTTCAGATTTCATGGAGGGCAGTGCTTTGTTTACTACACGCCATTGTGCATGGGCAAGGCTACATTATGGGTGACCTGGTGTATGATGTTGCATTTTGGGAGGAAAACGCTACTGTCAGTTGAGTGCAAAAGACACATGCTATCCATCCTCCTACCTATACCCTTCTAAAAAGGCAGATGAAAGTGACTGTGATGGGTATGGATATGAGTATCTTGGAGTTGGCAGCTGTTGATTTAAAGAACCACCTTCCTCAAATATCCAGACCTTTTGTTTCAGCAAACAGGTGGCATTTTACACAGAAAATGATTCTATAATGTGGAATGCTACGTAGTATTGGTTATGGGAACACAGAAGGAACCAGAGAAACTAAATTCTTCCTGTTCTTGAATGCACATCATAGAAACTGCAAAATTTTAACTCACAGTCAGGGAGCTTGGTCTAGTCTATGTCCTATACCCAACAGTTGCAATGTGAAAAAAGTCAAGCTTCCTCCACTCTTCATACAACCAAATACTCAGGAGGTAAGATCCACTGTATACAAGTGAGCATAGACAAAGCATGTCTATTCCTGCTAATGCCAGTGGCTTAGCCAACCTTCACTTCCTTCTAGGTAGTTCTCAATATATGATCCTAACATGGCATGCCTCGAAATTAAGCTGATTTTATACCTTACTATTTAGTGACTATTAAGTTGTAAGAAGCAGTAAAAAATGCAGACCCCTTCCTTCTTCAAATTATTCTGGTCCTATAAGACCTTGTCTGCCCTTGTCCATGGCTGCTGCCTCTTGTCTCTAAATTGCTTGCAATTGAACCCCATAAATGGAAGATGAGGTGGCAATGAGCAGGGGGATAAGGAGAGAAGCTAGAGTGGCTACTCAGGAAAAAAACAGAACACAGAGCTGGCTAACAAAAGAAAGCAGGCACGTAGCAGGCTTCAACACCGGGTAAAATGAGAAGACATGAAATGACAGGATCCTGATGCTTGGCTAGGCATGGCCTTTCAGGACATCACAAACAGGCATGGCTAGAGTGATGAGAATCCATACTGGGTACAAACAGTGGCCCCAGGTAAAGTCTGTGCTGGATATAAATACATCTGTTCAGCTGGATTTGCCAGCAAAAGTCTTCTATCTACACTTTTGTCTGGTCCATCCAGAAGAGCCACTGTTGCCAAGCCAAAGAGAGCTGCTCAGCTGCCAAATGGAGCCTCTACCCCACCCCCCTCCCAGCAACAGGGGCAAGAGGAGAAGTTCCCAAGGCCTCTGTCAGGCCAGGCCTGGCCCACTGGTCTCTGGCCTGTCCCTTGCCGGAGACTACATGCACTGGGAACAGCCACATTTGCTGGGTTTTTCCACTTCCTCCACAAAGGAAGAGCCATCGCTGCACTCAAAGGTGTATTTCCTGCGCTTGAGACGCAGTCCTACACAGCAGCCTGGTCCCGGGCAGGATCCTCGGCACTCCACCCATGAGACAGGCCGAGTGGTCTGGCAGATGGCATATCCACGCTGGACCTGGTGGAAATCACGCATGGCCTCACCCCGACACTCTGACTCTGGAGGAAACAGAAACAAAGAAGGTGGTCAGGCTAGAATAACACCGGAGAAAGCCACAACACAAGGTAAGACTTAACTGGAGAGACCCAGGTGACTACCTTTTAAACATTAGGCATTCTAAATACATTTTAAGTGTGTCAGAAAGGAGAAAAATCCCTTTGGGATTGACAAACAGGAAAAGACACATTTGTTTTCTCTCAAAAGTCCTAAGAGATGTGTAAGCATTGCCTTCTTCCAGTGAAGTTGACAGTACAGAACCAGTCCAAGACAAAAAAAGGAGAAAGACAATGAAAAAGCATCTTTGCTCTAGGTGTGCTTTATGTTTGTTACTCTTTGGGAATGTTGAGACAACAGGATATTTTCCTGTACAGCAGGGAAGACAGAGGTTAGTTGCTAGGAAATGCATCAGTGGGTGGTGGCTTGGCAGGAAAGAACTCCCTTTGCTGCCCACAACTGAAATGTCAAGGCTCCCAGCATAGACAAGGGCTTGGGTTTCTGGGCAGAGAGTGTTCTCTTAGAAGAGCATGCATGAAAATCTACCTTGGTCACAGAGGTCCCCATCAAATCCCCCGTTGCATTCACAGTAGGCTTCTCCTGTGTCTGAGATCTGGCACTGACCATGAACACACTGCAAATTCTTGCAAGGGTTGTGGAGCTCCCCTTGCTGGTTGCACAAGGCCCCCTTGTAGTCCTCATGGCACTGGCAGCTATAGGAGAGTGGATCCAGGGGTACACAAATGCCATGCACACACCTGTCAGTGAAGCAAGATATAAAAGCTGAGTGTAGGTAGATACAAGTTGTTGTTGTATCAAAGCCCACCCCATCCCTGCTCCTTCACATTTTCACTCTCCTTTTATCAGAGGTACTTGGCAGGTAGGAGCCCCTGGTGGCGCAGTGGGTTAAACCTCTGTGCCAGCAGGACTGAAGACCGACAGGTCGCAGGTTCGAATCCGGGGAGAGGTGGATGAGCTCCCTCTATCAGCTCCAGCTCCTCATGCGGGGACATGAGAGAAGCCTCCCACAAGGATGATAAAAACATCAAATCATCCGGGCGTCCCCTGGGCAACGTCCTTGCAGACGGCCAATTCTCTCACACCAGAAGCGACTTGCAGTTTCTCAAGTCACTCCTGACACGGCCAAACTTGGCAGGTAACAGCTCCGTAGCTCTTTCTGTGTCATCACGTCTTAAAAGCACCTGAATTGCTCACATTTTGGCTTCACAAGCAGCACTATGGCAAACCTATGGTATGTTAGAGCCCAGGGGTTTGGAATGGATGTCTTAAGTGTGATGGTCAAGGAGAGTGATAGGTAATCTGTCTTCTCCACAACTCTCATATACCATCCTCTATGGTAGGTTCCTGTGAAAGGGCCACAGCTCACTACCCAGTTTGCTTTATCCTTCAAAGTACCATGTTTCCCCAAAAATAAGACACTGTTGTATATTTATTTTCCCCCAGAAGACACATTATGGCTTATTTTCAAGGGATATGTTATTTTTATGAAGTATTGTACAACAATCTGCATTTTTGAGGAAACTTTGACTTTCTATGTCTCCCTCTATGCCTCAATTTGCAGCACACACAGAAGGACCGGGACCTGACAGGGGGAGCCGACCTTGTACACTGCATAGTCTTATTTTCACTATGTCTGATTTTCAGGGTATGGCTTATATTGCACAAATGCTTAGAAATCCTGCTAAAGCTTATTTTATGGGTATGTTTTATTTTCGGGGAAACAGGGTTTAAGCATGATTTAGAGGGACAAACATACAGGTTTTGTAAACAAGCTTATTTTAACAGAATAAAGACAAAGCTTTATTTTCTTGCATTCTAACTGCAATGATGTCTTCATATGAGTCCTTATTCTTGAATAAAATACTGTAGCCTATCGGCTGAGGTGGATTTATAAAAAGGTAAATTAGCCCAATGTTTTTGCTATGGGGAGGCATCCATGTGTTGCCTTGTTCTACCTCATCACAGAGGAATACACAGAAGAGGTAAAGCACTGTTTGAGTCCTACCATCTTCCAAAGTATGCTATCTCACTGTTGAACGGGTCTTAGTCTCAGAAGGTTCTACTTAGTATTTAGTCATGCTCAGAAAGACATTAGGCTGCCTTAAAACTAAATCAGATGGGTTGTCCATCTAGCCCACCACTATCTATCATGACTGGCAGCAACTCTCTAGTGTCTTGGGAAGAGAATGTTTATGTCTCCTGTCATCCGATTCTTTAAAATTGGAGCTGTCACTCTAGACTTTCTGGATGCGAAAAACATGATTAACTGCTCAGCTATCCTTTCACCCAACACTTGCTATGTCCTCCCCTCCATCCCACAGATGACACAACAGTGAGAAATACAACCCAGAAAGGAGGGCTAAAGGAGAAGGAGAACTTTAGCTGTCACTTGGTGTACTTACTTGTGCCCTTGGCAAGGGTTGCTAATGGGCTGGTCACAATGGGGTCCCACCCAGCCTGGATCACAATGGCAAATAGGGCCATGAGGGGTGTTGGGTTGACAAATGCCATGCAGACAGTAGAGCTTGCGACAAGGCTCACAGCCAGGCACCACACCTGGCTTCATCTGAGTCTTGGTGAAATCCTGCAGTTCATTGTTGATATAAAGGTTGCGAATACAGCCGTGGAAACTGGAACCATTCAGGATCTGCCAGAGGCGGAAGGCAGCAGAGTTCACATCCACAGGCATCCCTGGTGGAGAGAGCCACAGCAGTGAAGGTGAAGGGAAGAAAAAAGGATGGCGATGGGTGGGCAGGCAGGAGGAAGGAGCCCTGGAGTTCTCAACCTAGACTGCACAAGGGACTGCAAGAACCAGGGCAGGCCATTTGGTGAAAGAGGGGCATGTGGGACTGGGCTGTGGTGCAGCTAGTTAGTAGCCAGCTGCATTAAATCACTATTGATTGAGAGGTCATGAGTTCAAAGCAGGAAATTTAGGTACCGCTTTATGCGGGGAGGCTAATTTAACTAATTTACACCATAAAACCTTCCAGCAGTGTGCAGAAGAATGAGGAAGTACTCCATCAAGGACTTGGTGTCACAAGTGGACGGTGAAGCGGCAGTTCCCCCTGTGGCTGGAATCGAGCATACCCTCATGAAGCCGGAAAAGTTGGAATGTTAAATGCCTCTGTGTCTGTCTATATATGTTGTATGACTAAATGGCATTGAATGCTTGCCATGTATATGTGCATTGTAATCCACCCTGAGTCCCCTGCAGGGTGAGAAGGGCGAAATATAAATACTGTAGATAAATAAATAAATAAATAAATAAATAAATAAATAAATAAATAAGCAAGCTTGCACACCTCCCCGTCCCCTATATCTGGCTCTAGGCCTTTTTCTTACTCTGTTGCTCGTTCTTAAAAGGAAAGATAAAAGGAAGTATGTGCAGTGATCAGAGCAGGGACAGATAAAGTGTGGCCCATGCACCCCTGAAACACCCTTTTTACAGCCCGTGGAGCCAGCCGTGACGTGTAGAAGACCTCACACACCGGGTCCTACAGAAGTGCACTTGGAAAGTACCAGACGCAGGGCTTTTTTTATTTCTGCCCCTGCCTTATGGAATTCCTTGCCACCCTACTTGAGAGCCATGTGTGACTTAGGGCCTTTTACTCTAGCACTTAAGACCTGGCTTTTCACTAGAGCATTTGATCTATGTTAATTATTAATTTTTGTATGTATGTATTTTTATCTTTTACAATTTAGCTTGTAAATCGCCTAGAGCAGCTGTATGGCTGGCTAGGGGCATCAGATGTAAAAACAAAACAAAACAAAACACGATTCTGCCCTTAGTTGGGAGGTCCAGATTGAAGTCCCACCTCATTATGAAAATCACTAACTGACTAGATGACAGTAACGATTCTAAGTCTGATCCAGGGCTGTTGACAGGATCAAGAAAACAGCTACATTCATCACCATAGACTCACTGGAGGAAAAGCGAGATCCAAGCATATAAAGTATAGATGAATAAAGGGTGTTTTATTTATTACTACTGTACTACTATAGGACTATCCAGTGGAGATATTCAGTTTCTTGAAAAAACAGGAAATGGCCCATATTTGGAGTTAACGCTGAAAGGATAGGGCTGTCAAACAGAGTAGCCTCTCTTCTCCCCAAATGAAATGAGCTCAGGCTGCAATCATACCTCCAACGTAGAGTGGAGCGTCAGGGTTCAGTGTGTGGACCTTGCCAAAGCCATCCATGGTCATGGGGTCCCCTCCATCAATGGAGAGATTCACCATCCGCTCAAAGGTCACCAGTTCCACTGTATGGAACTGTCCATCATTAATGGTCTCTGCACTGGGAAGGAAAGAGAAAAACATGATGGCAAAGGCTCATGGCACTCACTCACTCAATAACCTACCCCAGCTTGGCTTAACATCTGTCATCTACAAGCATTTTTCTCCTTTAATATACAAATTCATCATTCACAAACATTCCTGCCATTTGTTCACCACAGAAATCCATTTTCCACATCTGTATTAAGCTTTAGTGTAAATTACTAAGCTACTACAAAGCTCTGTTAGTGGTTCTCAACCTGTGGGTCCCCAGATGTTTTGGCCTCAACTCCCAGAAATCCCAACAGCTAGTAAACTGGCTGGGATTTCTGGGAGTTGCAGGCCAAAAGACCTGGGGACCTACAGGTTGAGAACCACTACTCTAAGACCTCCCTTTCTCACCCTCCTGACTCATGTCCTCAAGACAAATGTGCTTAAAGTCTAAAGATTACACTGAGGTTGGGGCAGAAATCAAGAGCAGAGAGCTACCTGTAAATAGCAGAACTGGGGTAAGTGCCGGGATCATAGCTGACACGCACATGCCCTTGGTATAACTCAACTGCCATATGGTCAGTGTCCCCATTATACAAAAGGATTCCATTATCTTCAGCTGTAGAGACCTACAGAAAACGACAAAGTCAGCAAGAATGGACAAAGAAGTGAATTCTACTACTCAACCTTCTTCACAAATGGCACAGGGAAGGAAGACAGAAGACACATGTTCCCCCGTGGCATGGCGAAGAGGATGGCAACTCCTACCTGCAAGGTGATGTTGGCACTGGGCCAGTTTTGCAGGTCAGTGAACTGTAGGTATGTGTCCCGGTCCACAAAATTGACACTCAGTAGCTTCTCACATTTGGGACCTCCAAAGCCAGGGAGGCACTGGCATAAGGCACGACTGCCAAGCTCCACACAGTTGGCACCATTCTGGCATTCTGCCCTCTCACAGGGGGTAGGCTGGAGGGAGCGATGGGGTGGTATCTCACAGAGCTGACCACTGTGATGAGAAAAACACACAACAAGGCAGAAGATGGAGAAGGGAAGAACTCTCACAGGTATCCACAGCATTGAACTAAGACTAGAGCTGAACTTTACGACAGGTGGTGCCTTCTCAATGCACTATACCTCTCACCTCTGTAGCCTGAATCTCCCTGCTTCAGAGACGATAGGAATCATACAGTTGTGTTTATGCAGCATTCTAGCTCACACCACACAACTGAACATAGGATGGATGAAAATGCCATGGCATACAAATAATTATATGGCAAAAACCTAAGGTATTTACATATTCAAAGACATAACCGTGTTAATTTGTATGGGTGTATCAAGGGATCTTTAATACTAGACGAGATGAAGACGTTTTAGCATATGCTTTTGCAAGCTCAGGCTACTGCATCACATGCATTGACAAAGTAAACTGGGCTTACAAAATCTTATGCTACAAACTTCTACCCTCTCGGCTACAGTCAAAGGTGTTATAAGATCCCTTTGTATCCAGATTTACATAATTCATTCATCTTGCTCTCTTGGTATCTTTCCCAATAACAACATATCGTATATACTCAAGTATAAGCCAACCCAAATATAACCCGAAGTGCCTAATTTTACCACCAAAAAACAAACAAACAAACAAACAAACTGGAAAAACGACTGACTAGAGTATAAGCCAAGAGTGGGAAATGCAGCAGCTACAGGGAAATTTCAAAATAAAAATGGGTACCAATAAAATTACATTAATTGAGGCATCAGTAAGTTAAATATTTTTGAGTATTTACATAAAAATGTAATTTAAGGTAAAACTGTCCAACTCTGATTAAACCATTATTCTAACCTTCTTCAATGCAAATGTGTTTATGTATCCTTCCAATAATAATAGAGTAAAATAATAATGTAATAATAACAATAGAGTAAAATAATAAATGTAATAATAACAACAGAGTAAAATAATGTAAATGTAATAATAATAATAATAAAGTAAAATAATAAATGTAGTAAAAATAAAAATAATAACAGAGTAAAATAATAAATAACTTTGACTCGAGTATAAGCCATTGGGGGGGGGGGGTGTTCAGCCTAAAAAAAAAGAGCTGAAAAACTCAGCTTAACGAGTATATACGGTAGTTGGAAAGTGCTAGTCAACTTATCTCAGCACTGCCATCTCACTACATGTAAGGGGCTACTGCCCGGAAGGTCAGAACAATTTGGAGGATGGCACCATATGAGCATCTCCTTGATAAGAAAATGGATTCACACCAGGCTTGCCATTCCCTGGTACAGCAAATGGGAGACAATCTTCCACAAAATATGGCCCAACCATTCTAAGCCCAATCTCTGTTTTACAATTCTGGCAACAACGCACTGTTCCTCTGGTAATAAACTTGGCCATGTCCCCAACTGGGACTCATACCTGTAGCCTCCAGCACAGAGGCAGGAATACCCATTTGGCTCGTCAAGGCATTTGGCGTTGTTTTGGCATCGGTGATCCAAGCAATCATCGTAGTCCATGCTACAGTTATCCCCCATATAGCCAGGCATGCACTCACACCTGGAAGCAAGGGCAGATAAGAGACACTCATTGAGCTAGGGCTCCAAAGAACAGCAAGGCAAACATTCTGGGTGAAATCCATGGCCATGCTGCATGCTTCTCCTATCATGTTTACAAATCTTTACCAGATCTATTTCCAAGCTCCCCTGTTGATCTTGGGTTTAAACCACTTCTCTCTAAGCTTTTAAGCTACTCACTTGGGTCCATCAGAGGAGGTCCTGCATATGGCCCCGTGCTGGCAAGGGTTGAGCTCTGGGGAGCAGACATCCACTAGCTGCTCACAGTAAGTTCCTGCAAGGAGGAGAAAAAGATAGAGGAAATGCAGGTTTGTGCCCCATGTTCTGCTCTGTTGGAGCATGTAGGAAATCCGTGTGTGTGTGTGTCAACTGTAAAATTGGTCAGGCAATGCCCGGGGAGATGGCTGAGCCTGGGACTTTTGGATACTGTTACATTTTTGTTCAGGCTTGAGCTATGCAAGTGCAGAGAGAGAAGAAGAGAGAAGCAGAGAGACAGAGTTTGAAGTGTGCTCTCGCTTCATGAGCTACTGAAGGAGTTTATCCACATGGTCAAAGAAAGACTCATAAAAGGACAGTATGTGAGTTGATTCAACTGATCACATTGTACATATATTGTTCTAAACTACGAAGAGTAAACTTCTTATTCTTGATTGTTCTCCTGTGTGGCGTGTTTTCTTTCTCTGGCAAGGCAGCATGTGGGCTTATTGAACGTGAACTATACATGGCTTATTTTACATTACGCCCCATGCTCTACATGTTACACCAGTTCAGCAAAGTGAGGGAGGGCAAAATGGTGACCCAATACATGTATTTGACAAAATAAATGAATACAAGCCTCAGTTGCCTACTACTCAGCTGCTTTGATATACCAAGTATAAAATCTGCTAATTGCATGATTTGTTTAGGAGATAAATGTTTTTGTTAGGAAAATGATTGACACCATCTTATTAATTTCAGCAAGTGTTGCTTTCTACCTGGCTACCTGATGAGCAACACCCACTTTGAAACAGATATTAAAAGCAAAGAAGCTCTCTCCAGCTTTCACTCTGACAACCCTCTTAACTAGAACCTGGAAAACCCTCTTAACTAGAACCTGGAAAATGTACCATTTGAACTACAGCTTCCAGAATCCCCCAGCTAACAGTTTTTAGAATGGTTTTTAGAATATTTTTATAAAAGCCTTAGTATATTTAGAGGCTTAGGAACACTAGCTATACACTAATAAAAGGATGGGAGTGCTGGGCTCCCTTGCACTGCAGCTAGACCCATCAGTAAGAATTCATTTAGTGAAACTCAGTCTTTGTGCTAAACTACTCCATCTGAAAATCCAATGATCAGATTAGACCTCATTTTAACTCCATTTCGCTTCTCTCCGAGTTCACTCCATTTAAGACTACTTCATTACCTTCTTTAATCACTGTATGCTTCTACTATAAATTGAACTCTGGGTTTACTGAGTGCAAAAGCAGTGAATCATAGAATATGCCTGTACTAGTCTGGTGACAGTGCTAGGACCAATATGGCCAAGTAAGCCTCCCTTGCAGAATCAGATTTACCTGTGTAGAAAGGAAGGCAGGTGCAGGTGTAATTGGAGGTGCCAGTAATGCAGGTGCCACCGTTCTTGCAGCTGCTGTCATTGCAGCTTCTGGTCTTCAGACTGCAGGTTGCTCCTTCAAATCCATCTATGCAGGAACACCTGTTGAAAGAAAATAAGGGTTAATTCACAGAGAAATGAATGGTTGATCTATTCCAAGGCTCTGCCTCTTGAAAGGTACTCATATAGTCAACTTCCACAGGCTCCAAATGCAAGAAAGTCTCAATTTGAATTGAACCACTTTACAACATTTTAAATGTATAATGTTACCTAGTCAGTTTTAATTTATTTATATTTATTTATTTATCATGTCAGAAGCAAATTGAGGGTACAGTTATAATGTATTTAAAAGAACACAAAGTTCAAAACTTGGCATTCTATTAAATGTCCTTTGACCAGTAGCCGACCACTTGGAGTGCCTCTGGTGTTGATTTTCAGAAGGTCTTCCATTGTGCATGAGACAGTGCTCAGACTGCATTATAGTAAGTGCTCTGTGGTTTGCTCTTCTCCTCACTCACATGTTGTGGACTCCACTTTGTAGCCCCATTTCTTATGAATAGCTCTGCATATCATGGTGCCAGAATGCAGTCTGTTCGATGCCTTCCAAGTAGCTGGCATCAGACATGGTTTTGGGTTTTAACCTGCCACTTTTGGACTCTTGCTTGCTGAGATGTTCCTGTGAATATCTCTGTAGATCTTAGAAAAGTGTTTCTTGATTTAAGGCATTGGCATGCTGGCTGATATCCAAACCAAGGATGGGCCGGAGATATCAGTGCCTTGGTATTACAGGCTGCTCTTTCTCTCGGATGTCAGGTGGTGCAATACTGGCTAAATAGTATAATTTCTCCAGTGGTGTAGGGCGTAGACATCCTGTGATAAAGCGGCATGCCTCATTAAGACATTAATTTACAATTCACTATGTGTTCACATAGGCTAATCTTTGTTCTGTGTATTTTAATATATGTATTTTGCAGAAATGTGTTGTAATATGTGCATTTTATACAATGTTTATGATGACTATGTGTTTTTAGTTATGCCATAACCCACCTAGAGGAGAGGCAGGTAAGAAGTAAAATAATAATAATAATTATAATTATTATTATTATTATTATTATTATTATTATTATTATTATTATTTTCCAGAAAGTTTCACCAGCAATGCTTAGCAGCGGACAGCATGTCTATGCAGTTGTGTGAAGAGGAGAGCCAAGAAAATGAGCAGAGTGCAGTAAGATAGTGAGGCTGTTTGGAATTTTGTTGGGAAGTTTTAAGCAGTAAGAAAAAAACTGAACTGGTTTTCTTTTACCTTCCCAGACTGGGGGAGAAACCAGTGTTTCAGTGTTGAAATTGCTGGAAGAGTTTCCTTTGCTTACTTAGGGCCCTTCCACATAGCCCTGTATCCCAGAATATCAAGGCAGAAAATCCCAAATATCTGCTTTGAACAAGGTTATCTGAATCCACACTGCCATATATTCCAGTTCAAAGCAGAAAATGTAGGATTTTATTCAGCTGTGTGGAAGGGAACGTGTAAAGAGAAAAACTCTGTCCACAATTAGTGGTGTGTTGAGCAAAACCATCAACTTTATGGCTTCTTCAGTTCTCTTGGAACATAAATTCACTGATCTCTAATGATTCCATATGGAACTGGCTCCTCCTATTTACATGAGTCTCAGTTTACATAATGAATCTAGCAACACAGCCCTCATGGAAATTGTGACACATCTGATTTGATTTGAAGTAGGATGCAATTTTTCTTTTGATTGATTGCAGATTGATCGAGAGCAGGGGAGGCCCTGCTCTCGATCCCGCCTGCGTCACAGGCGCACTTGGCGGGGACGAGAGACAGGGCCTTCTCAGTGGTGGCCCCTCGGCTATGGAATGCCCTACCGGCAGACATCAGACAGGCACCTTCGCTGCTGACGTTTCGGAGAATGGTTAAGACCTGGCTTTATGAACAAGCGTTTGGTTAAGCAGTGCAACCAATCATAGGAAGACGGTAAATGGAACATAGGAATGGCACAAGGATTATGAGAACGGATCTGATTTCAACTGAGGCGTTATGTTATGTCTGTTTTGTTGATCTGTCTTGTTGATTGTTAACTGTTGTGGATTGATGCTGTTGATCCTGTTTGTTGCATTGTTATGTTTTAATTGCACTGACACTGTTTGATAATTGTACCATGTAAACCGCATTGAGTCGCCTGTTAATGGCTGAAAAATGCGGTATAGAAATAAAGCAAATAAATAAATAGTTGGACCTAGCTGGAAGCCACTGGGTGAAAAGGAGTTGAGAAAATTCTTGTCTGACAAAAGAACTCTACAGTAGATGGGCTTGGTTGAGGGAGGCTTCAACAGTGGCACTAGGATATGTGGAGAAATGAAAAGATGAGCAAGAAAACACCACTTTATAAAAGAAGACACCACTTTATAAAAGAAGACTTTAATGAGAAAGTCTGCTGTTGTTCATATATTTTTCCATGGTGATTCCATGTATTATTTTTCAATCTATTTTAAGCATGGTTGCTGTGAATTTCCTGGGCTGTATGGCCATATTCCAGAAGCATTTTCTCCTGTAAGCCTTCGACAACATATTTTATGCATGTTTTATCATTCTAAACTGTGCTGGAATGAAGGGCACAATTATATGTCCATATATTTATATTATATTATATTTATTTATATTTATATTATAAAACAAATCTATATCAGTAATTACATTTGAATGCCCAAGCTGGATGAATATGTGAGCTCTGTCTACAATTATGCACACATCATATCAGGAGTGATATATATGTGCTTGCAGATGTATATGAAGAGCCTGTTTATACTTCTCTACCATGTCAATATACCCACGCAGATGTAAACAGATATGATATGGGGTGGGTAGTTTGGAAGTCATAAATGAATACACAGTGTATTTCAGATGCACTCCTACTGTCTGCAGCCTGTTCAACTCAGAAGAAGAAACAGAGGTAGAAGAACTGGCGGTCCTCCTCCTTCATGCGCCGCATATTGAATTACTCTGTGGGCTGAAAGCCCTGCTAGCCTTTCCTAGACAGACGGAGATCATGTCCCTGCCTACTACTTTTCCCAAAGGCAGAATCTATAGTGTGGCATGTGCTGGGAAGCAGCTTTGTCAACCCCCAAGGGACATTATGTGCTAGCTTTGAAGATGCTGGGTTGTTATGGTGACGGGATGAGAGGCCATTTAGCATCCTGGCAATTTGGGTACACAGACAGGGCTGGGGCCCCATTCTCTCACTATAGTCTGTGGTTTATTTTCAGCTGCTAATTATGATCTGTTTCCCAGAAAGCCGCCTACGCTGTACTCTGAAGAGTGGAGTGGGGAGGAGCCCTGGGAATAGTGGGGCAACCATAAATCAGAGCCCCTAAAGACTGGAACAACTGCCAATTCAGAGAGGTGCACATGTTTCCAGAATCTGCCCCCTTGGACGTTGGCTATGGCCTTTAGGGTCAGATCAGGTACTAAAGGTGGATTTTGCTCAGGAGGTAGCGGAGACCAAGGGTGCATTTTTGGATATAATAAACGGCCTCCTACCTAATTTTAAGTAATAATGGGGGGGGGGGGGATCTGGTTAGAGATATTGGAAGCTGGTAGCCTTGTGGTGAGGCATAGCAACTGGCTCTTGGCAAGCAAAGCATCTCAGAGCTACCCCAGGCATGAAGACCTGGACAGACACTACTCAGCAAAGCCACCTGATGTGTCCCTGAACTGCCACTCACATAAAGCCAACTCCAGCTCCATCGTGGGATTGGCACGTCCCACCATTCTCACAGGGCCCGCTGGAGCAACTGTCAACAGAGACTTCACAGTTTCTTCCCTGAAAGAAATGAAAAAGAGGAAGCAGTCACTCCTCAAAAAAGCAACCCATAATAAAACAGGGTAAGACAGAGATGACTGAAATAAGCCTCAAAAGCTGTTTTTGCAGCCTGAAGCTCTCCCAGTGATTTTTTTCAAAAAAGAAATCAAATAGTCACCACCCTCCAAATAGTGACAATTTTAGGCCTAATAAGTTGAAACAGTATATTTATTTATTCCATTTATATTCTGCTTTGCTTCCAATATGTGCCCTGAGACAGCTATGTCTCTTGCCCCTTGATTCAGGTAGTAACAGGTTGGGCTTGATGTCAATCAAAATGTTCCTACCTGTATCTGAGTTCTTGACATAGCCTTCTTTTTTGGGCCATGTATCCTAATAATAATAGTAATAATAATAATAATAATAATAATAATAATTTATTAATTATATTATTATTAATATAATAATAGTAATAGTAATAATAACAATATACATGACAGAGTCCTAAACAGCATAGAGATCTCATTTGCTGTGTAATACTGTGTTTTTGTGTCAGAATAATAATAATAATAATAATAATAATAACAATAATAACAACACTTTATTTGTACTCCGCTACCATCTCCCCAAGGGACTTGGTGCGGCTTACATGAGGCCGAGCCCAAACGCAACAATACAAGCAATAACAACAATACACACACAAAAAAACATAGACAATAAAATACACAACATTATAAATAATAATAATAGAAGAGTACATGGTCCAAAAAAGAAGGCTATGTAAAGAACTCAGATACAGTGAGGAGCATTTTTCATTTTGACAGCCAGCACTGACAAAATTACCATCTGTCAGCTGCAAAAGGACTCACACCTGCACTCATTATTCGCAGATACATCACGTAGTCCCAGACACTTGGGAAGTATCCAATGTGATCATAGGGATCTTGTTTGCTGTGTACTAATCTTGTTATGTATCAAATAATAATAATAATAATAAAATACAACAACCCAGATAAAATATACTAATATTAAAGAGTATAAAATATGGCCTTCAAAAGAGAGATGAAGTCCTTCTTTTTTGTTAGTGAACCTGCTAAGACCCTTCCTCTCCAGATACATCAAGCTTCTCACCTTGTACTTGCTGGGGCAGGCACAGTGGTAGGAATCCAGAGGATCTTGCTGGCAGGTGCCCTTGTTTTGACAGGGACTGGAAAGGCAGGGGTTGCACTTGGCCTGGATGGCTACTGAGGGAGGGGCTGTGTACAAATGGAGGAGAGCCATCATATAAGCAAGGATGAAGAACCAAAGCCACATAATTACTCTGCATCAACCACCAGGAGTGGATTTTACAGCTTCCTCGTTAGATTATGGGAGAAAGAGGCACTCAATATCACCTTCAGCCCAATAGTAGATACAGGCATTCCCTGAGTTACAGGCGAGACAGATTCTGTAAGTTTGTTCTTAAGTTGAACTTGTATGTGAGTCACAACAGGTACATTTTTAAGTGAAACTCCAGTCATACATACATACATACATACATACATACATACATACATACATATATGTTTTGGATAACATAAGCGAGGGTTAACACCCCTGAAACATTTCTTTTCCTGTCTGTGCCTCTGTTCAGAAGATATCATCTCACTTTCTGTCCCGTTGAGAACTGGATTTTGAAAACATTGGGTTGTTGTGGAGACAAGGATTAGCGATAAAGCTTCAGTAGAAACACCTTTTTCCCCCATGGTAACTCTTACAGGAGTGAGTTTCCTTTCCTAGGGGTAAATTTCCTCTCACTTCCTGTTGTTTCACCCCCGTTCTTAACTATGAGTCATATTTAAGTTGGATGTCTTGAACTTGGGGACAGCCTGTAGACATTTGTCTTCTCGATCTCTCTCCAAATCTTTTTGGGACCTTAACATAAAGAGCTGAATGTAAAATCAGTGGCACATCTGCAGATATAGGTAAAATGTATATTTTACCTATATTTTACCTTTGACATTTAGTCTAGTCATGTGCGACTCTGAGGATGGTGCTCATCTCCATTTCTAAGCTGAAGAGCTGGCGTTGTTCATAGACACCGCCAAGGGTGCATGAAGCATCATTACCTACCTGCAGAGATGGTACCTACTGATCTGCTCACATTTGAATGTTTTTGAACTGCTAGGTTGGCAGAAGCCGGGGCTAACAGCGAGAGCTCACCTTGCTCCCTGGATTTGAACCACCGACCTTTCGGTCAGCAAGTTCAGCAGCTCAGCGGTTTAACCTGCTGCACTACTGGGGGGTTCTCTGCAGATGTGAGTAGGACATAAAGGTTCCACAAGTCATGCTGAAGCCCCACTTGCTAGCATCAGGCCGAACACTGCATACACATAACATGTACACCAATGCATTTATGCTCCCTCTCGTTTCATGTGTGCTGCATTCCAACCACTCCATTCCTATAGTACTTGTGTTCATTAAATCTCTTTTCCTGACCAAGCTCTCAAAAAGATCTAGGTTGGGTTCCACATGGCTGCTTAAGAGATTGATGTACAGGGTAGCATGAGATCTAAAAGATTGTGGTTTGGGTAATAGATGCTCTGCAAAATGGGTACTTGCTTATGCCACACTTGCCCCATGACTCCACTTACCTTGGCACTCAAACTTTTTGGCTGGAGTGGTGAGCAGCAGTTTACCTTCCATGTCAGTAGGGCCAGCACAACGGGCAATGCCAGGCTCTTTGTAGCCAGTTTTGACCCAACCTGAGAGCCAGCGCATGTGACAATCACAGTACAGGGGGTTGGCACCAATGGCTCTGTGGAGGAGGAAGAATGACATTTTCTATACAACCACTGAAGGTCCAGGTGCCTCCTTCTTGACACTCAGGTTGCCTTCCAGAGGCCTTGAAACTGATTTCTAGATGTTCTGTTCTAGGTTCTGAATCTGCTCAAACACGCAGTAGGGTTGTTTTATTCTAAGACACCCCCTCCTCTCTCTGTCTCTCTCCCTCCCTCCCTCTCCCTCTCTGTTTTCTTTTTCCTCAAAGGGCTGATTCACACATCCAACCATAGCATTTCATTATTCAATGCTAAAATGTATGTATTGCAATCTGTATCATTTCTCCTTTGAGGTTAGAGACACTGAGCACACCACGTGTATAATGTTTGGTTGCCTGTTCCCTTTAAAACATTTTAAAATGTATGCAAACCATTTAAAATGTATGCAAACTGAAATGGACCTCACTTGGAATACACCCAACTAGAGGGGGAAATCAACTGTCTGGCAGCCAAATGCCAGAATCAATGGCAGGAAAAACAGATTTTCCCCAAATTCACTTTTCCTTGCCTTGATTAGCCTTCTAACTGGGCCTGTTGCACAGCCATATACTTAGAGCTTTAGGGTGCTGGCCAAGGGCAATTTCTTCTGTAGTAGAGGAAATGAAGCCAAGCATAGTTACTCTCTTAACTGAGGTATTGTTTTCCACAGCCATCGAGAGCTAGAAGAACCTGAAGTTAGGAAATGTGCTATTTAGAGGGCAACTTCCAGTGAATGGGCTGTAGGAGTTGTGATCCCATGCTCTGTCTAAGCCAGTGGTTCTCAACCTGTGGGTGCCCAGGAGTTTTGGCCTACAACTCCCAGAAATCCCAGCCAGTTTAACAGCTGTCAGGATTTCTGGTAGTTGGAAGGCCAAAACATCCGGGGACCCAAAGGTTGAGAACCACTGGTCTAAGGGCTTTGCTTATCATCTGCTACCACTTCAGCAAAGGCTGCTTGCCTTCAAAATGGAAACAGACTCCTACCTACCGTCATCCTCTGAACAGATGAATAAGCAACAGAAAATAAATTGATGCTCCATAGATTATACCCTCCAGGTACAGACTTAATAGAGCAGTGGTTCTCAACCTATGGGTCCCCAGATGTTTTGGCTTTCAACTCCCAGAAATCCTGACAGCTGGTAAACTGGCTGGGATTTCTGGGAGTTGTAGGCCAAAACACCTGGGGACCCACAGGTTCAGAACCACTGCAATAGAGCATTGGGAAGCCCCAAGGTGGGAGTAATGGGTTCTCATTCTGATGAAAGTACTCACAGGTGAGATAGAGAGGTGACATCAGCAAAGATTCCTTCCGGAAGCATAGAGACATCATTTCCATGGAGAGACCTGAATATAAATGTAAGCAACAGGGGACACGGGTGGGTATATTGGTTCCTTCAGTTAGAATCTTTGCAAAATTTGTGTGAGGAAAAAAAAGCAGAGGGTCTTGGGGCCTGTAGACACCATTAAGAGCTTTGTTTCTCTGACAATATTGGACCAGATTATATAGAACAGGCATGGGTAAACTACCGGCTGTTAGGAATTGTGAGAGCTGAAGTCCAAAACACCAGGAGAGCCAAAGTTTGCCCATGCCCGACATAGAATAATATTCCTGAGAGATATGAGATAGTTTCGTTTTCCTTCGGCAACCTTTTGACTGATTTCTAGCATCTTAAAGGGAGCAGCCCAACCATCAAGTTAAAAGCTTAAGCCCAAGGAAGTGAGAACATAATGGGAGAAATAATGGAAAGAGAAGAAGGAATATGGGGCAGCCATGCACTGGGGCATAATTGGGTTGTGGCACACAGAAATACAAGGTACCTACAGCAGCCGTAGCGAACGGAGCCCCTCAAAGGCCAGTGGTGGGATACACTGCAGTGCATTGTAGCTGAGAATCCTGAGTGAGAGGAAGGGACAAATTAGATCATCACACATTCCTTACAAGCATCTCTCACACCTTGTCTAACATAGCTGTCTGCATCACTTCCTTTCAGTGCTTTTAATTTCAATATTCCCTACTGGGCAATGAGGCACAGTCTGCTTCAGAGTTTTGACTGGAATCTAGTCTTGTCACTGTTGACATCACATTCCATTTTGAGAATGAAGCATATTGGCATGAGTGTAAAATCAGAATAAATAGAATACAAGAGCTGCTAACCAATTATATGTATTACTACAAAATCTCCCCTATGACACTGCCTCACCTCTAATCAGTTAATGAAAAGTAACTACAGGTCGAGCATCCCTTAACCGGAATTCTAAAATCCAAAATATTCCAAATGGCTGGCTAAGATAGTGGCACCTTTGCTTTCAAAAGGTTCAGTGTACTCACACTTTATTTTGCCTTCAGCTTACCTGTATAATTTGTATATGAAACATAAATGAACCTAGGTTCTTGTAGGTTTTTTCGGGCTATAGGGCCATGTTCTAGAGGCATTTCTCCTGACGTTTTGCCTGCATCTATGAACCTTATGTTTAGACTTGGGTCCATCTCTAAGATATCTCATTATGTATGAACATGCAAATAAAAGTAATAAAAAAACCCCAAAGCACTTCTGGTGCCAGGAATTTCAGATAAGGGATACTCAATGGTGCAGCCCTTGCTTTAGTCCCCATTCAACAGGAAGCAGCCACCATGATTGACAAGGGTCTGTTTTCTCGTCATTTGGAAAGCAGCTGACTGCCATTTCTACCTCCTCTCATGACTGTTCTCCAGGCAAGCAAGATCCCTACCTCATATTTGCCTCACAAAGGAAACCACCTGCATGAAAGAGGGAAGGAAACATCTGTCAACCGCTTCTCACTCAACAGGAGAACAGACCACCATTGACTGCAATGGCTGCTGCCTGCTAAGTGCAGAGTTGGGGACTTTCATAGCTCTAAAAATGGAAGCTACATACGGATTAAGAAGATGCAACAAATGAATATCCAGATTATGAATTTGCAATTGCCCCAATGCATTCTGGCCAATGTCTTAAATATTTTGCCTATCATAAGAAATGAGTATTAGACAGGCATTAACTGAAATCCATTCAAAAACCTGCCCTTTAAGGCTCTCAATGGCAAGTGAGCAAGTTAATCATACTGAATAAGTAACTATTCAGCCCCAAGTTTACTTTTTATTTTTATAGTCCTTTCTGGTCCACCAGAACTCTGAATCTGAACCCCAAAGTTAGAAACATAGGAAACATGGGGAATGGGGGGGGGGGGCAACCCAACTCCTCTGGTTATGTGACATTTTTAGGATTTTAAAGCCAATATTGGGGTGGAAACTATGCAAGAATGTAAATATCTATTGTGGCATAATGCCTTACAGACAAATACATGGATTTGTTTCTAGATTTTGGGAACCAACATCTCTCACCCCATCTGTGAGCAACCTCCTTGGCCAGAAGATAGTCCCAACTAGGCCACAACATTTCAGTGAAGAGCAGAGACCTATTTTGCATAGACTCTTTTTAAAGGCTAGATAGTATCTGCCATTTTAAAAAGCTTTTGCTCTCCTAAACTCCCACAATCAATGCCTCTTCCTGCAAGCTGCCCTCCTTTCTGATATGCCATTCAAATACTGCTTTAGACACACTCACAAGGTGGTGAGCTGGCTCATGTTGGTGAAAGATGAGTTGCTCAGAGAGCTGATCTTGTTGTTGCTGAGATCCCTGTAAGACACAAGTACCAGTGTTAATTGATTCTTCCTTTAGCATCATGTTGTATTCATCTCACTTCCCATGCCAGACACACGCGGAATATTAGCTTCAGAGTTTGCACACCTATCAAAATGCATTGATACCCGCAAATCTGCATTGTTTTCAGCAACCTGCATGTGAGGCCAACAATCTGGTGTCTGAACGTATCTCCTCCTATGAACCATCTCAGAGTTTAAGACCATTGGGGAGGCCCTAGTCCCACCTTCTTCACAAGCACAGTTGGTGGGGACGAGAGACAGGGCCTTCTCAGTGGTGGCCCCTCGGTTGTGGAACTCCCTCCCTAGTGATATCAGGGCAGCCTACTCCCTCCTGGTGTTTAGAATGAAAGTCAAAATCTGGCTCTGGGAGAAGGCATTGGAAAAATAGAGCCGCGCAGGAATGTTAGTATGGATTATATGCAAGTTGACTATGGATTGGCCTTTAGACTGCAACTCTGGATGACATGATTCATTGATATGTATTTTTATTATGCTTATTATGTTTTAATTTTTAACTTATGTTTTAACTGATGTGGTATGTTTTAAGGCAGGTGCGATTGTAAGCCACCTTGAGTCCCCCTCGGGGTAGAGAAAGGCAGGATATAAAGTAAATAAATAAATAAATCTCTTCTTGGTCTGCTCATTCCTGCTGGAAAGCTGTCTTAATGAACAGTGTCATGAAGGAAGAGGGGATCCTAATTGTCCATATGTTTTGAAGACATGGGAAGATCACAAGGAAATCAGAGATTGTGCACAAAGCTTGGAAAGTGTATCTTTTTGGACCATCATTTGTAGAATCCCAACTGGGATTCTGGGAATTTCAGCCCCCAAAATTAGATCATCCCCCTCCCTCCTGACCTTCAGGAAAAAACTAAAAATGTGGCTATGGGACCAAGCCTTTGATCAGTAACTTTGAGCAGTGAAATGAGTGCTTACAAATTAATATAATGACAGATGGAACACCCCTGGATTATGATTAGGACTGCGTGATTTTAAATGATGTTTTAATATTTGTTGTTTTTAACTGTTTCAATTTTAACTTACTTGTTTACTTTTTGATATTTATATTAATGGCATCAAATTGTTGCCTGTTGTAAGGTCGCTCTGAGTCCCCCTCGAGGTGAGAAGAGCGAAGTACAAATGTGATAAATAAATAAACTTGTTCAAACTCTGTTTTCTGACCATGGGGTGAATCACAGAATCAGTGCTCTTTAGAGCAGGAGAGTCAAAATTGCATTTCACCATCTGGTATGTTAAATAAACTGTTAGGATCGCTATTAGAATTCCTCAAGCATAAGGTAAACTCACAGAAAAGGGGAAATATGAGTGAGATAAGGTCAGTGAAGAAAAATTGCCATGCAGAATCATCATAGAATGGGAAGAGACCACAAGCACCATCCAGTCCAACCCCCTGCTATGCATAATAATAATAATAATAATAATAATAATAATAATAATTTTTGTTGTGTCAGGAGCGACTTGAGAAACTGCAAGTTGTTTCTGCAAGGACGTTGCTCAGGGGACGTCCGGATGTTTTGATGTTTTACCATCCTTGTGGGAGGCTTCTCTAATGTCCCTGCATGATGAGCTGGAGCTGATAGAGGGAGCTCATCCGCATTCTCCCCAGATTTAAACCTGCGACCTGTCAGTTTTCAGTCCTGCCGGCACAGGGGTTTAACCCACTGCGCCACCAGGGGCTCATAATAATAATAATAATAATAATGACACTTTATTTATATTGCACTCTATCTCCCCAAGGGGACACAGTGGATTACAACATACACAGATAGGCAAAGATTCAGTGCCTTTAAAACAACGAAATAACAATGATACCCAAATACACAGAACAAAGGTAAAGGTTTCCCATTTCATCTCTGGCTTCTGGAGCCAGTGCTCAACTCTGGCCATGGAGCGTTGCTCTTCTTCCATTTCCATTTCGTGTTTAGCCGGCATAGCTGCATGGGCGCCTTTATTACCTTCCCTCCGAAGCAGTATCTATTGACCTACTCACATTTGAATGTTTTCAAACTACTAGGTTGGCAGGAGCTAGGGCTAACGGCGGGAGCTCACCCCAACCCGTGGCTTCAAACAGCCAACCTTCCAGTCAGCAGTTCAGAAGCACAAGGGTTTAACCCATTGTGCCAACCGTGCCCCTTAATGCACAGAAATACACAGTTAAGGAACTCCTGACAGATGGCCATACAGCCTCTGTTTAAAAGTATTCAGAGAAGGGGACTTCACCACATTCCAAGGCAGCATATTCCACTGCCAAAGAGCTCTTACTGTAAGGAAGCTTTTTCCCTCCTAATGTTTAGGTGGATCACTGTAAAACCAAGCCTGTTGTAATGCTTAGGAATGAGGCCATGTGATCTCAGCAGTAGCTACTTTAGGAACTCACAGGAAAGGGTTGCTTTTTCTTCCTGTGCAGCCCAAAGAGCAACCGGGCTAGAAGACACTTTGAGAAGGAATTCATTTTCTCACTGACTTTGGCTGAATCAACCACATCCTATTCAGACTGACCCAACTTTCTCAATTGTGAGGGTGTGTCAGTTTCAGGCTTCTTTGGAAATCTGCTTCTAGAGCCTAGAAGGTTGCAATCTAAAAATATTTCCCAGTAATTAAGCTCTTTTTCTTAAGCCTCTTACCCTTCTCTGGGCTACACAGGGAGCACCTGCACACACTCTTATTTTTAACACAGTTCAGAAGGGCTCCCATGCTCTTTACACAGCTCAGAGGAGATAAAAAGATTGTGCCATCTTGCATGCTAGCTCTCTGGACCATCTTAAAGGCTCATCTGATTCAATAAAGTAACTCACATTTTCATGAAAGGTTGTTTTTTTTTTGGGGGGGGGGGGGGGGTGGCATGTTATTGGCTAGAGCCAAGTTAGAGACCTGGCATTTGGTTGTATTGTGCAGACTGGCCTTCTGTTCATATTATTCAGATTTCTCAGCTGGGGTAGCTGCTGCAGGGGCAGTGGATCCACTCTATATTTTAGTACCATTCTAACCACAATTGCTATGAGTTAAGCAGGAGTTAAGGAGCCCCCGGTGATGCAGTGGGTTAAAGTGCTGAGCTGCCAAACTTGCTAAACAAAAGGTCACAGGTTCGAATCCGGGAAGCAGCATGAGCTCCCACTGTTAGCCCCAGTTTCTGCCAACCTAGCAGTTCAAAAACATGCAAATATGGGTAGATCAATAGGTACCACTCCAGTAGGAAGATAACAGCGCTCCGTGGAGTCATGCTGGCCACATGACCTTGGAGGTGTCTACAGACAACACTGGCTCTTCAGCTTAGAAATGGAGATGAGCAGCAACCTCCAGAGTTGGACACGACTGGACTTAATGTCAGGGGAAAATCTTTACCTTTTAAAGCAGGAGTTCTGCCAGTATTAACCATGGACCAGCACCAGTAGCTATTCTGTTTATCTCAAGACACCAGGAGGAGTTGCAATAACATCTAGATAGATTCACTAACCCTGCAGTAGCAATCTATGATCCATCCAGTTATGAAGCTTGGATGTCTAGGAAGATGGGGTGGGCATATGGTTAGAAGTTTAGAGAAGACTAGTCAGAGACAGGAAATTCCACAAAATGTGAGAAAGTTGCTGAAAACAACAGACATGATGCTCCATTTCTTTCAATTTCTCGTATCACTAAGAAAAGTCAAGATAAGTTCATTTGCAGACGTCATTCCCATTTGTTTCTCAGATACTTACACCAGCTGAAGATAACGGAAAGTGGAGAGCTGTCCAGGGACCAAGGTGAATTGGTTGCCATCAAGGTAGCTGCAAAAGCATGGATGCATCAGAAATCACAGAAGAAACACAAAATAAAACTCATAATAATAATAACAACAACTTTAACAACAACAACAATCACAACAACTTTATTTTTATACCCCGCTGCCATCTCCCCAAAGGGATCCAGAGCGGCTTACATGGGGACTAAGCCCAGCATACAACAAAATTTACCAGATAAAATGCAATTAAAAACATAATAACATATACCATAACATAAACAATCTAATTAAAACAATTAAGAATAGCAAAATATAAAAGCAATGTAAAAGTGTATCTCAGTGGAGTAGTGGTCAATGGCAATGGTAACTTAGAGGAGTAGTGGTCAATGGCAATGGTACCCTGCTCCCCCACAAAAAAGTATCCAAAATGTAAGAACTGTAACTACAGAAAAGCAGAGTTTTCCTGATGTTATGTTAGTTGGGCCAGCAAGTGAAGAATCATTTAAATGAGTTGTACAGGCAAACTCGTGAGGCGGGGGGTGGCATCTATGGACATATATTGTTCTGCACAAGATTCAGAACCTGAAACAGTGCTTGTCTCTTGCTGCCTTGTCCCATTCCAGTGTCCCAGTTAAGGGCATGATTGATGTAATGCTATGCAACAAGAAAATTGCAAATTTCGTGTCAGGAACGACTTGAGACACTGCAATTTGCTTCTGTTGTGAGAGAATTGGTCTGCAAGAATGTTGTCCAGGGAACGCCCAGACGTTTAATGTTTTAGATCCTTGTGGGAGGTTTCTCTCATGTGCCTGCATGGGAGGCTGGAGCTGACAGAGGGAGCTCAACCCACTCTCCCTGGATTCAAGCCGCTGACCTGTTGGTCAGCAGTCCTGCTGGCACAAGGGTTTAATCCAGAATACAATAGCAATTTGGATTTGGAACCTACCTACTCACAGATGGCGGTAAGACACATACCAATGGCACTCTTGCAAAGCACTGGATGTCTTCCAAAGTACTATGAGGGTTGAAGCTGTGTGTATGTCCCATGGCAGCTCCCTCTATGCCCCTTCCCCAGTGTATAAGGGCCCTGCCAGCATTACTCACAGTTCAGTGACGTTCTTGGGTATCCCTTTGGGGAGGGCTTTCAGGTGCTTGTTGCTGCAGCGGACAACAGTGTCTAAACAAGTGCACTCTTGTGGGCATTGAGGGCGTGGGAAACAGCTGGTCTCCTCCTGGCCTGCCAAGGGTCAAACCAAAGGGTTTGGAATAGAAAGAGAAAGCGAAATATGAATCTTGATTATCCCCAGTCTCTCCAGGAAAACTTAGATCTTGGCCTACCCATATATCACTATAGAAAGTGCCTTACATCTTCAAAAGGGTCAGAGGCATTGGGAGTACTTAAGAATTGTGAATATTAATCATTTGGTGAGATGAATTCACTGCAAATAAAAAATATAGCTCTTAATTAGAAAGGGTGTGAAAGGTCTCTCTGACATCTGTGTCCTCCTTATCGATTTACATGAGGATCTTCTGTAGAAGCACTTTGAAAAAGCCAAGCAGTTGTTAATTTATTGTTCTGAACAGTTCCCATGCTCTCCATCTTCCACATATCATACTATATTGAACGGCATTATTTAAATCAGATTCAACGATTTAACACGACTTGTCAAATTGTAAAGTGACACTAAATATATCCTATGCCTGGGACATTATATTTAGTTTAGTGGTTAAAGGATTGATGAAATCGTCTCGCTTTTAACCAATTAAAGGGTTGGCGGGGGGGAAACACCTTGAAATGAGTGGGAACCCCTAAGAGCTGCCCATTATGTAATGAGGTTGGGGCATTTGGATCTTTGACATTTTTAGCAGGAAGCTGGTATGCAGTGCTAGACAGGTGGCTAAGGTTCTTGCTGGCACCCTAGAGATGTCCATTCTGATCCAAGAAACAGTGAAGGGTGTGTGGGTTGGTAAATATAAATAAACAGAAGCATCACCACAGTTTTTGAACCAAGATATACCCTGCAGTATAATAAAGTGTAACAAGTAACAGTATCTTTATTTCAGTTCAAAAAGTTAAACAGGGCAACAATATATACAGCAGTCTCTTTGAATTCACACAGAGAACAGAGGGAATAAACAGTCCTTTTTAAATAGTCTTTAAAGTGTGCTTCATGCCTTACAAATGATCAGGCTTCAGAGAGTTGACAGCCATTTCCTTCCTGGCTGTTTCCAGTCAGCACTCTCTTCACTCTCCAAAGTGAAAGTAGCAGTTAAAACCGTTTGTCTCAGCAGCAAACTAAAGACAGCAGCCAATCACAACTCTGGCCTCTGGCATGCTCAGCCAATCGGCTGCCAACACGTGTCTTTCCAGTCAACCCATTACATCATGGTGTCTCTTTTCAAATCCTCACAAAGGGGCTGTAGAGAGCTAAGCCATCACTACCCACTAATACCATATACATGCTGCAACCCTCACAACTGTTTAGAACAGGCCACAGAAGAATTATAACACATGTTTGGAAAATCTGGCTGGGAAGATCAGGGAATTTTACTCGAAAAATTAACTGCCTACACCATTATATCAACTCAGGCAGTGCTCTTTGGCCTTCACAATGCTTTAGTTATGTTTCTCTTTAAGCAGATCAACTGAACACTGTGAGCTAAGCTGTTTCCAAGTATGAACCCCTCTTGCATGTTTGAAAGCTTCCATATGTATATCATTACACAAGGGTTGGGCACCTCTTTGTAAAGTCTTGGGTGTCAATTTTCTTCTCATGCCCATCTGAGAACATGTCAAAATACCTTCTTTTTAATTCATATCACAGTCAAAATGGTGATATATCATTTCTAGTCACCACTGTAGCTAGGAGATGAATGAGGGGGAAAAGAATTCAGAAATTTTGGGTGGGTTCCCCCAATATTTTAATAGTCCTCAACCTGTGGGACCCCACGTGTTTTGGCCTACAATTCCCAGAAATCCCAGCCAGTTTACCAGATGTTAGGATTTCTGCAAGTTGAAGGTCAACACATCTGGGGGCCCACAGGTGGAGAACCACTGCCATATTTGAAGACTACATATAATTTTAGATCTGTTTTCACCTAAAAAGGGGATGGGGAATTTGGCTGATTGGCTGGACAGATAGGACAGTGGTTCTCAACCTGTGGGTCTCCAGATGTTTTGGCCTTGGAATTAAAGAAATCCTAAAATCTGGTAAACTGGCTAGGGTATTTGGGAGTTGTATGCCAAAACACCTGGGGACCCACAGGTTGAGAACCACTGCTTTAGGAGCTACAGAACATGTGGGCCGTGGGCCAAACCCTTCTCACCCCTGCTTTATACCACTTGCACAAATGGGCAGTGCACGTGTTGAAAATTCACTCCCATACTCCCACTCCAATGCTAATGATTGAATGTGAGACTGACATCCTTTTTTAGCAACTTAACACTGTAAGTCTGACAATTCAGAGCCAGAACAGAAAGTCTATTGTCTTTCCACCACTGTAACAACCTACATTTCCCCTAGAACTTATGCTTTAAGCTGCACATCCCCCAGCATAGTGATTTCTGAGCTGCCAGAGAGAGTGTGCGTGTGCATGTTGAGGAATGTCAACCCCAGCCCACTTCCTAGTTCTGGATTTTGCTGAGATCTCCCTGCTCTCCAGCAACTCAGAAGTGGCCATTGAGGGGTTCTGAAACTTAAAAGTTAAGGCTTTGGGGAGGGATGGGGGAAGATTTAATTATGCCACTGCAATTAGGTTTACCAATGTAAGATCTCAGTCTGGGTGCTTTGTGTGCCTCCAATCCGCTACTGGTTTAAATTTACAGTAGAATAGTGGCAGATAGAGAAAGCTGATTCAGAGCTAAGCTAGAAGCTTTATGGCTAAAGAGGGATTTGAACCTGATTTAAACACAACATGCTCCCACACTATATTACTCTGCCTGGTAGCAGAGCCTGGGACTTGTACAAGTCTGCAGAAGAGACAGAAGGAGTGGAACTACAAAACTGGTTTGCCTTTTTGCTTCCCCACCAAAAAACCAAGCGCCTGTGAGTTACCTTCCTCACACCTGAAGTCGGGGAAGGCAACATCTTGCAGTGGGATTTGGCGCAAGAAATCAGGATTGTGGCAGCGTGGGTTCCCCGTCACAATCTTCCTCTTGCGAAGCCAGTCGCCCAACCAGGCCAAGCGGCAATTGCAATTGAAAGGGTTTGCCAGCAGGTTCCTAGATAGGAGAGGAACAGTGTCAGTGGTGTTGTGCGATTTCAAGCCGTTTATGAAATATGGCAACTCTATCATGGGGCTTTCTTGGAAAGAAATTTTTCAAAGAAGGTTTGCTACTGCATTCATCAGTGGCTAGAGTAGTGGAGTCCTTGTGGACAATAAGTTAAACATGAGCCAACAATGTCATGCGGTAGCTAAAAAAGCCAATGGGATTTTGGCCTGCATAAATAGGAGTCTGGTGTCTAGATCCAGGAGAGCCATGCTACACCTCTATTCTGCCTATTCTGCCACACCTAGAATACTGTGTCCAATTCTGGGCACCGCAATTGAAGGGAGATGTTGACAAGCTGGAATGTGTTAAGAGCAGGGTGACTAAAATGATCAAGGGTCTGGAGAACAAGCCTTATGAAGAGTGGCTTAAAGAGCTGGGCATGTTTAGCCTGCAGAAGAGAAGGCTAAGAGGAGACATGATGGCCATGTATAAATATGTGAGGGGAAGTCATAAGGAGGAGGGAGGGAGCTGGTTTTCTGCTGCCCTGGAGATTAGGATGTGGAACAATGGCTTCAACTAAAGGAAAGGAGGTTCCACCTGAACATGAGGAAGAACTTCCTAACATTGAGAGCTGTTCAGCAGTGGCACTCCCTGCTCCGGACTATGGTGGAGACTCCTTCTTTGGAGGCTTATAAACAGAGGCTGGGTGGCCATCTGTCGGGGGTGCTTCGAATGCAATTTTCCTGCTTCTTGACAGGGAGTTGGACTGGATAGCCCACAAGGTCTCTTCCAATTCTATGAATTAGTGCGGCTTGCCCAAGTTCACCTAGTGGGTTGCTGATTTTAGCCATGGGACAAAACTGGAAGTGAATGGCACCATAGGATCAATAATATCAGGCTTTCTAGGGAATTAGGGACCTTTTACAACCAAGCTACTTGAAGTGAGGGTCTGTGGATTTGTGGGGGGTCTATGAGCCAATGGCTGCCAGTCCAAAGGAAGTGTCCATGAAACTGTGAGAACTTGGTAATAATATAGTACCGATATCATTCAGGTCTCTGGTACACTGGGGGAAAATTCTCATCTGATCAGGTAGCATGAAAGGCACTGCTTTACAAAATGCCCTCTGCTGCTTGTGAGTTCACATGGAGAAAGAAGCAGCCAACAATGAAATGCTATTTTAATTTCTCACAATGCGTGCAAAGTAGCGTCATATTTGGCACTACACATTTTTTTACAATAAAGACAATGATACTTGGGCCTGAAACCACCTGCGGATTCTGTCAATACTAACAGTTTGAGACCAGTTCACCATGCCAGGAATATCCAAGCAAATTACAAAAAACAGAGCAGGAGCTTTGAATGAAAAGGCAAGCAAATTTCAAGAATATTATCCTATTAACAAGGAAGAGAGGGCTGTGGATATGGATATGTTTGTTCTAGTTAAATTCCCTTCCACAAAACTCACAGAGTAGAGAGGGATTGCAGCGTGTCAAAGGCACCGGGTGAAATAGTGCTGATCTGATTGTCATACAAGGAGAGAAGGCGCACATTCCGCAGCCCTGTGAAGCTGTCGTTGTGGATGCAGTTGATGCGGTTGTTCCTCAGCATCCTGGAAGAAGAAATAGAGGGAACAGCTGCTACCATGTACCGATAACCCACCACTACTATTATCTCATTATGCATTTCTCATCCAAGTAGGGGCAACTTACAGTGTCCGAAGCCCCTCAAGACCCCGGAACATGGAGCTGCGCACTGAATCCAGTTGGTTAGCTGTCAGGTGTAACTCGCTGACAGAGGCAGCCCCTTCGAAGGCCCCATCCTCAATCTCAGACACTTTGTTGTTGCTCAGATTTCTGAGAAAGCCAGGAACAAGAAGTAAAGAGCAGAATGCAGGAGCAGGAAAACGAGTTTCTCATCACATTTCACACCCTACAAATGAGTGCTTTTCCTCAGTACAGAGGAATGAATAATAATAATAATAATCTTTATTTATATTCTGCCCTTTTCCCGTACTCATTACAGAATTTATATACACAGGCAAACATGCAATGACTTTACAACCACATACAATGAGACACACAAACACAAACAAAGGCAGAGGCTTCTCCTTTCATTTCCGACTTCTGAGGCGGTGTTCATGTCTGGCTCTGGAGAGGTGCTTTCTCCATTTTCAAGCCAAGGAGCCTGCGTTGTCATCTCCTGGTTGTGTGACCAGCAAGCTTTTCCCACTGAAGCGATACTTATTTATCTACTCACACTTGCATGTTTTCTAGCTGCTAGGTTAGCAGGAACTAGACCTGACAAATGGGAGCTCACCCCATCTCGCGTACTCAAACTGCCAACTTTCAGGTCAGGAGTTCAGCAACACAAGGGTTTAACCCATTGCACCATCACAACTCCCAGAGCAGATACAGCACTTTTTTTAAAAAAGCCATTCATATAATTTACTTAGTTCATAGAATCATATAGTTGGAAGAGACCCCATGGGCCATCTAGTCCAACCCCAGTTTTCCATTATTCTTTTATGAACTAACTTTTCACCTACCTTGAAAGTTTCTCATGCTTTAAGAATTTAAGGAAATCATATCTCTATAACTGTTTGTCTATTTGCTTTCAGACTCCAGACCTATTTACATTTGTCTCATCCATGAAAAAGTATTGTTGTTTTGTGCCTTCAACCAAGTCTGAACCAATGAGAGGGTTTTCTTTGCAAAACTTGCCCAGAAGAGATTTGCCATTGGCTTCCTCTGAAGGGGAGAGTGTGTGACTTGATTGGTTTCATGGCTGAGTTTGAACCAAAATACCTGAACTTTTTTGGAATGCTCCTGAACTGTTTTGTACTCACATTTTCTTTAAGTGTGGGAGCTTCTTAAAAATTCCTGTAGCTTCCAGCACTGTAATCTCATTGTTGTTCAGGCGCCTGGAAGAGAAAGGAAGAATGATAAATATGCAAATAGGAGAGCAAAAAAGCCATAAATAACTAAACAACACTTAAGCTGCACTTAAAACAATACAATACTCATGTTTTCCTAAATACAGATATTCTCATGGAGAGGGTGGGGGGAATACCTGTTGAGGCACCATAATGGAAATATTGGGACTTAATAAGTAAACACAACATTTCTATTTATTCAGTGAAATGTTTGCAGATAAACTAAGGACTGCTCCCAAGATGTTTCAGAGCCAAACTGCCACTTGCATTTAATCCACCTCTGAATATTCCTTACCTATGAAAATTCTTTGAAATTATGAGATTGCCATTGATCAACAGGCTACTTAAAAACACAGAAAGACATATACACATACACAGCTATATCTCTCTTCCCACCTTTTAGGCTCTAGAACAGTGGTTCCCAACTTGTCATCTGTGGACGACAAATTGGTCATCAAGAACTAAAACATGTTCCGCAGCCTCATCGTTACTACACCATTGCAACAAGAGTGATGGGTCTTGCAAACCCCTCTGAGTGTGCTGAGGATTATAAAATATGGTTTTCTGTGGGCAAGCATATGGTGACTAATGGATGGCATATGTTCTGTATCAGAAACTAGAGCCGATGTGGTCTGTCCAATGCATTTTCTTAATCAGCATCCCAATTAACCAAACTGAATCTAAAGTTGACCAAAAACTAATTTGTAACCCTTTTGGGTACTAAGGTTAGAGAGTGGTCCCTGGTCAAAGTGATCCCTGGTCAAAAAAGTTTGGGAACCACTGCTCTAGAAGGTCCTTCCTAGGGAGGCTACAATGGCTCCTTCCTCGATGTCCTTTTATCTGCTGGTAAAAACTTTTTGAAAAAAATTGTGACAGAAGTGCAGATTTTTAAAGAATAGCAAAAAAGTAGCAAAGAGATGGGTTTAGTCCTTACAATTCAGCAGTGGCCTGTGGGAGGCGCTCTGGGATCTTTGTCAGTTTCAGGTTGGAACACTCCACCACATTGGCTTCACAACGGCACTTGGGTGGGCAGACCACATCACTGTGGCATTCACTGTTCAACTGATAATCCTCCGTACCTGCCAGAAAGAGACAACAGTCCAGCCATAAGTGCATTTGTAGACAGGTGTGTGAGGCTGAAGGTGAGGGCTAGGTGCTCTAAATCAGTGGTTCTCTACCTGTGGGTCTCCAGATGTTTTGGCCTTCAACTCTCAGAAATCCTAACAGCTGGTAAACTGCCTGGGATTTCTGGGAGTCATAGGCCAAAACACCTGGGGACCCACAGGTTGAGAACCATGGCTCTAAATCAAAGCTTCTTAAATTGGGGTCATGACCCCAAATGCAGTTGCATAAGTGAATGGTTGGGGTTGTGAAAAAATTGGCCACAAGATTGACGAAATCATAACAGGAACTGCATGTAACTTGTACAGTACATCAGTCCTTTCTTCAGGGGAAGAAACTGACTGACCCACCCATCCATGCGCCCCAGCCATCTGCCCTGCAGAACAGGATGGGGAAAACAGAGGAGGGATTGGGTTGAAGGTTGGGGAAAGTAAAAAAGGGTGTGTTTGGGAGAAGACGGAGGAGGTTCTTATTCCAAACGCAGCCCTTTTTGCTTCCCCCAACCTGTAGCTCAATCCCTCCTCTGTCTTCTATCTTATAGACCTATATTCCCGGGGTCACATAAATTTTTCTCAGACAAAAAGCGGTCATGAGTGGAAAAAGTTTAATAAGCCCTGCTCTAAACATTATGTAGCTCCCTGAAGCTATCAAATGCAGGTCTTTTTTCAATAATATTTTCCTTCAATTTACACATTAACATATGTCTGCATACCTGGAGACTCTTCCAAATATACCACAAATCAATACTATACTGATGGCATGGTTTAGTAGCAAACTGAGAAGTTACTAGAATATGCAGTTTCAATATTGAGGAGAATGATTTTTCATACTCCTCTTGGTAGCTTCTCTTCATAGACATTATAGAAAGTCGAGTCAAAGCTCCATTCTAGTTCTAAGAAGTATGAATCCTGCAGTAATGGGGAAGGGATGTTAAAAAGAGGGATTTGGGTGACCCTGGTCTGAGTCTGCATAAAGGATAACAAGGCCTGTAAGCGCTCCATGCCACTTTTGCCAGACTTAATCTAAGCCATTCAAGGACAGCAAAACGGGCAATCCTGCAACCTCATTCTGTCAGCTGATGATGAACGCAAAAAACAAATGTATGCAACTGGCATGCAAACTCTAGCACACTCAAATTCCAAAACTTGCTCCCTTACCTGGGATGAAGTACTGCTCCTTGGCTGTGAATAGAAATGTGGAAAAAAATATTAACATAAATTTAACAAAATTAATATACTAAAGGCCATGCAATTCATTTCTCCCCAAATACCGCCAAACAAGCATATGGAAGGAACATCTATTTCACATCAGAGAAATGATTAACTGCAACAGTATTCAAATAAACTTCCATCTATAGATATCTCCAAAGAAAAACATATATTGTGCATCATCTGCTGTATACATTGATTCAAATTTCAAGAAAGAAGATTCCACCTAAACATTAGGGGGAAAAATCACCTTATCAGAATTGTGCAACACTAAAATAGTCTGCTTCAGAGGGGTAGACTCTTCTGCTTCAGAGGTTTTTAAACAGAGATTGAATGCATATATATTGGGAGTGCTTTTGTTTTGTATTTTGCACAGGACAGATCTGGATGAGGTTGCCCTTGTACTTCTGCCCAATTCTTAAGATTCTATGAAATCTATACCCATAATAAAAGTGAAAATGTATATGTATGTATGTGGCTGGGATACCCACTTCCACAGACAGGCTCCCACTTCCACAAACAGCTTTAACCCACAGTGCTGAGGAGCCACCAAAAGCCTTCCCTCCAATGACATTTCAGGTTATAGTGAGCACTATGAACATGTAGCCCAGTCTCTGCCAATGTCCTCCCCAAACACCATACTGCCCACCACCCAAAGAATGCTTTCATTCGGGGACAATTTAATGCTAGATTTTATGAGTTTCCTCCACCACTGACACCCCAGTGTTTCTTACTCTCGCCATTGGAGTGGAATTTTCATGATCCTGCCCAAAAGCCCCCCCTCTCCCTTAACACTTTCCTACGCTTTCCAATTCTGTCTGCACAACAAACAGAGAACTAATTAGCAACTAAATATAATGGAGGAGTTTGGGGGATTGATTCCACATGAGGGAAGTTGTAGTTCACCCTGCATCAAGTCAGAGCAATGTAATCCCCACTGACAATGGACCTGGACCACATTTGGCACAAAGAAATCCCTGTGACCAAAGAAAAATACTGCAGAGGTTTGGGGGGAATTCATCTTGATTTATAGCCATTGTAGGTACTGGGATGTATAGTTCACTTGTAATCTGGACCCCACCAATGATGGCCCTGGACCTCACTTGGCACACAGAACCCCCATGATAAAAAAAAATATTGGTGGGCTTTGGGGGGAAATCATCTTCATTTATAGGAATTATAGCTCACCTACATCCAGAGAACACTGTGAATGCAAACAACAATGGATCTGCACAAAATTTGGCATGCATACGCGATATGGCAAAATTTGAATACTAGTGGGTTTTGGGGGGAATTGGCCTTGACATTTGTTAGTTGTTGGTACTGGGATTTATAGTTCACTTGCAATCAAAAAGCACTCTGCACCCCACCGATGATGGACCTGGACCTAACTTGGCACACAGAACTACCATGACCAACTGAAAATACTGGAGGGGTTTGAGGAGACTGACCCACTATGGTGGGAGTTGTACTTCATCCTTCAGCCAGAGAACACACTGAACCCCACCCATGATGCATCTAGAGCAAACTTGCCCAACATGATAAACTGTAAGTATTGATGGAGTTTCAGGGGGTTAACCTGGCATGATGTGAGTTGTAGTTCACCCACAACCTTATGCATTTTGTAAAAAAAAAAAATGACCCAGGCAAGCTAATAAGTAATAATTCCAAAAAGAAAGGGAAGGGCATTTCTGCTTTCACTTTTAAAATGAGTTGAACAGTTTAGGATAAAGAAACCCAGCCTTGTGGTTTATGTATATGCTGAATGGATTGTGAAGGTTCTCCAGCAGGCTATATTGGTGACCCTTCGCCACAAAGCTTTTTAAAAACCACTTAAAATGAGAAAAGAAAACCTGGGCTGGATTGTATGGCTAGAGAAGAACCACTGTGGTTTGACAAGAGGAAATAAACCTGAAGGAGGGGCGATTTCTACAGTGTCTCCTCCCTGATCTCATTTATATGAGATCCCTGAATAAATATGCAAGTAAAGGTATGCAGGGACCAAATTTCTCTGCATGATACTGAACCCCAGACAAAGAAACAGTCCTATACTACAAATATAAATGCAAAAAGAGTTGTGCCTACGGGAGCAACGGAATTTCTTGCTCTTGATCTGTCCGATGCGCTTGTTTGCCAGGCGGCGGGGGCTGGCACAGCGAGCGCCACTTGTCTCAATGGGATTGGCACGCAAGAAGTCTGCCAGCCACTTCAGGTTGCAGTCGCAGATAAAAGGATTCTGGGCCAGATGGCTGCAGCGGGGGAGAAACAGGAGCAATTCATTCACTTAGGAAATAGAAGGCTTGCTCTAATGATTGATACTAAAGGAACCTAGCTGTTGAGTTGAAATTTACGGCTAACACAGTGCTGAATGCTCTTTTAGGTACCCAGAAAGCCATTTCCTTGTAGTGTTATTTAGGTGTCAGCATGTTGTCTCCCACCAGTGGCCATGAGCAAATATTCTAGATGGAGAAACTTTGGCTCTTCAGACATTTCAGTTTCTAAAACCTTCAGCCGGGCTGGACAAAAACAACAATTAGGAAGCTAATTTTCAGGCCAGTTTTAGCACAGCACGTTAATCACCAGCTGCAGTAAATCTCACCAAATGAAAGATTGACAGTTTGAAGCCAGGTCAGGGTGAGCTCCTGACCTTCAGCCCAGCTCCCCTGCCCACCTAGTGGATTGAAAACAGCATTGTGAGTAGATGAATAGGAACCCTATTAAGCGGGGAGGTATTTTAGGCACAACATTTCAGAAGAAAGTTTACAAACAAAGAAAGCCCTTTGACAAGGAAATGGAGCGACACCACTCCCCTGTGGCCGGAACTGAGCACAGCCTCCAAAACATGCCGAATGATAAGAAAAAGCCTAAATATGCCCCTATCTCTTGTCTGTCTTGTCATTGTATAATCGGCATTGAATGTTTGCCACATATGTGTTCTGTGATCCACCCTAAGTTCCCTTCAGGGTTAGAAGAGAGGAATATAAGTACTGTAAATAAATAAATACATACATAATTTTCCTGCTAGAATTTATTTATTTATTTATTTATTTATTTATTTGCAGTATTTATTTTCTTCCCTTCTCACCCCACAGGGGACTCAGGGCAGATCACAATGCACATATACATGGCAAACATTCAATGCCATAGGCATACAATATATATAGACAGAGACACAGAGGCTATTTAACTTTCCAGCTTCATGAGGGTATGCTTTTTGAATTCCAGTCACCAGGGGAGCTGTCGCTTCATCATCCACTTGTGATACCGACGGAGTACTTCCTCATTCTTTTGCATGCTGCTGGAGAGTTTTATGGTGTTGTAAATTAGTTAAATTAGCCTCCCCGTATACGCGGTATCTAAATTTCCTACTTGACAGGTGCAACTGTCTTTCGGGCTGCAAAGGTCGACAGCAAGCTAGACAAATGGCCGGAAGCTCACTCCAACCTGGGCTGGGTTCGAACTCATGACCTCTCAGTCAGTAGTGATTTTAATGCAGCCAACTCCCAACCAGCTGCCCCACAACCCGGAATAATATGCTTGTAAAGCTATGATGCCGTGAGATATCTTTCTCTCTTCTCAGAACTCTTTGCCTATTGAGACCTCCTGCCTTTCCTCCAGAACCTTTCCTGACTTCCCCTTGTGATTGCAGCACTCTCCGGCCATCCCCTACCTTCCTCCCCCAAATCCCTGATGTCTTTAAACAAATCGTCAGAGAAGCCAGCACTCACTCACAGGGTCTGGATGGCACGCAATGTGGTAAAGGTGCCCTTGGCCAGGGTCTGGATCTTGTTGTCATAGAGCGAGAGCAGTGACAGGTTCTGTAGATCAGCAAAGGTATCTGCCCGGATGCAGTTAATCTTGTTGGCATTGAGGAGCCTGTAGCAAAGGGGAATATCACACCAGGGAAGGGTGTACTGTGCTGCAGTGTGGTAGCAATGGATATTATAAGCAGGCATTCTCATAGTAAAGACTTCACACTACATCCCACAAGTCACTAGCACAGTTCAGATCAATAAGACAAGAAATTAGCCAAAATACAGTTAGATACTGTGGTCCATATGTATCTGTCTGTTTAGCCACCTAACTATCAATCTGTCTATTTCCTATGCCCAACACATCTAAAGACTAGTCATGGAAAAATGGACAAAGGGCAGGGTAATGATTAGGATGTTGAACTATATCTCGGGAGGCCACAGACTGCATAAGAAAGAGAAGGAGGGAGGGCCAAACACACTTAAAAACATGACAAGACTATCAGAAAAATTTTTTTCCAACACCAGAAAGAAACAGTTTATATGAAAACTAGCCCTCTAGTTTCATTAGCTTTAATTTTCACCAGGATCAGGCCTTTTTAAAACCTGACACTTCTCACTTCAAAACACTTTGCATTGCAACAGAATAGTTAAGGAGCCCCCAGTGGCACAATGCAGACCAAAAGGTTGGCAATCAGGGGAGAGGAGTGGGCTCCCATCTGTCAGCTCCAGCTTCCCATGTAGGGACATGAGAGAAGCCTCCCACAGGATGGTAAAACAGTTGGGCGTCCCCTGGGCAACGTCCTCATTGACAGCCAATTTTCTCACACCAGAAGTGACTTGCAGTTTCTCAAGTTGCTCCTGACATGAAAAAAAAACCAGAATATTTCACAATATTTATTATTTTTGGAGATTTTTTTTCAGTTGGGCGATGTAAAACTTTCGTCTAACTTCAGACACAACTGGAAAGCTTAAAAAGGACTTTGCAGCAAATTATGCCACTGTCCATGTCAGTTGGTGAGTCTGATGTCAGAGAGGAAATGAATCCACTCTGTGAAGTGAAACCCAGAGCAGATTCACTACCCCAGTGAGCCACCAGCTACCAGTTATCCCTGCTATTTAAAAAGACTTTGGGCCGGTGTGCCTTGGTTCCACTATATCGCTGCTCTTAAGGGAGGCTTACATTACTGAAGACAGTCATTAAGGTCTTCATCTAGGATAGTTGGAGCCCCTGGTGGTGCAATGGGTTAAACCCTTGTGCCAGCAGGACTGCTGACCAACAGCTCAGTGGTTTGAATCCAGGGAGAGCAGGTTGAGCTCCCTCTGTCAGCTTCAGCTTCCCATGCGAGCACATGAGAGAAGCCTCCCACGAGGATGGCAAAACATCAAACATCCGAGCATCCCCTAGGCAACGCCCTTGCAGACGGCCTATTCTCTCACACCAGAAGCAGCTTGCAGTTTCTCAAGTTGCTCCTGACATGAAAAAAATAATTCTGGGATAGTTTATATAGAAAAGAAGGACAGGTATAGCTGGGTGAAGAAGGGAATGAGGACCAAAGTTTGAGTGCAGGTTGTATTTAGACAGGTTTGAATACAGACTGAGTGAGGCAGACAAAAGAAAGAAAAGGCAGAAAAGAAACCAATACATTCCTGAAGAGCTATTTCAAATAATGATATTTGCATATTGTTGTGTAAAAGGTGTCAAGGTGTAAGATATACAGCTTGAGTCCTCTCTGAAATCTATCTCGAAGTTGCTCTCTATCCAGCCCCCGCCAAGCTTTGGCTTCCCCTCTCATCCATGCTTACAACAGCTGCAGTGCATACAGGCCTCCAAATACCCCTTTAGGGAGCTCTGTGATCTTGTTCCCATACAAGACTCTGGAAAAGAAATAAAAACAGTATCAGGGTTAGTAGTGTCACCTGATGATCAGCCTCAACATCCCAAAGACATTAGAAGAGGCTTTCTGACAGAACTAGATCGAGATTTACTCTACATACACAATTGACACATGATGCAGGATGGATTAATGTGGAAGAGCACAAATCTGTGACAATGCATCTGGGTTGAGATGTTGGTGAAACAAGCAAAAAAATAGTGGTTCTGGATTGATGATCATTTCAATTTCAACAAAAACAAATTGTCATGTTTGAAACACAGTTAAGGTGGCATAGCAGGGCATGGCGGGCTGTCTGTGCCAAGAGATTCCCCATATGGTTGCAGTAGTCTCTTATCATTCGTCTTCAGACCTCCCCCCCCCCCTTCCCTTAAGCAAGAAAACATTGCAAGAGTGTGCTTGAAATCCACTTGTCAGTAGAAGTGTGCCTATAACAATGGATTCAAAACACAGCCACAACATAGATTGCTCCTGAGAACTGAGACAAATTATCTGCAGGTGTAACAGATCAGTCAACAAAAACCAAAAATGGAAAGGGCAAAAAAATGTCCTGACCCAGAAGATGTCAAGGATCCCAGATTTGGCATGAAAGGGACACTGGGAATAGCTACCATGCCAATGGTAAATCCAGCTGTAGGGAATGTGTGTCTGCATAAGTGTCCATGGAAGTTGTCATGGCATCATACAAGTGGCATTTCATATCTCCATCTAAACTACTGCACTTCATACTCATGAACTGCTGCAGTGGAATTACTTACAAAGAGTTGAGTGAGCGCAGGCCTTGGAAAGCATCAGGTGCAAGTTCTGAGATCTGGTTGTTGCTCAGGTCTCTGAAAAGCAAAGACAACATCAACATATTTCTCAATATTTGCAAGCCACGGTTACAGCATCCCCCCTCCAATGGTGAATGCTTTGAAATTACAAACTCGTTTCCCACTGATCCTAAGACTTGTCTGAAAGGAGGATTTGAACAACCCCAGTGTTGTGAAAACATGGGGCAGAACATCTCACTGGTTTCCAGTAAAGAGAAAGGAAGAAAAACAGGACACTGAACATGAAGTGGTGGGAGAGAAGTCAAGTACAGAGGCTGGGCAAAATTGCAGAGGATGCACCAATTGCATGTTTGCTGTCCCTCATCTATTCTGCTTCATTTGACTGGAAACAGCTCTCTAGGGTCTCAAGAGGAGGTCTTTCCCATCACCTTTCAGGGCTCTATATGAGTGTTTTTTTTTTTCATTCAATACATGTACTCTCATCCTGGATTCTTATCCTAAATGAGGCAAAGGCTACGTCAAGGGCTAAAGGGCTGTGAGACTAAGCGTAAAGAAGCTAAAAGAAATTGAACTGAACCACCTAAACTGGGCTCTAAAGGCCAATGGATACTCCACCACAGATATCAGAAGAGCTGCAAGAACAAGAACAAGCCACAAGAGTCAAGACAAAGATCCACCCAGAGGAAAAGTGTTCTTACCACGCATCAATGGAATCACTGACCAGACAGGAAGCTGATGAAGAAACACAACCAACAAACTATCTACAGACCACTAAGAAAACCCAACCAATGCTATGTTCAGCAAAGGACAAGAGGGATCCTCTCACCTCCTCAGGAGTCTACCATATACCATGCAGCTGAAGACAAGTCTACATAGGGACCACCAAACACAGCATTGTCCAACACGAAACAAGGAACATGAAAAGCACTGCAGACTACTTCAACCAGAGAAGTCATCCATAGCAGAGCACCTGATGAACCAATCTGGACACAGCATTTGATTTGAGAACACAGAAATGCCGGACCACTCTAAGAACTACCATGTCACACTACACAGAGAAGCCATTGAAATCCAAAAGGAGGAATTCCTGACATGAAACAATCAGGGCCAGTTAACACCTTCCAACAAAGGATTTCCCCAGGTAGGAAGCAGCCAGGCTTTGAAGCTGCAAGGCCATTCAATGCCAATCAAGGTTGCCAATTACAACATTCAAACTTGCCTCAAGCAGACAAAGAGTTCTTTCTCCCACTCTGGACATTCCACAGATATATAAACCTCACTTGCCTAGTTTCCAACAGACCTCACAAACTCTGAGGATGCCTGCCATAGATATTTATTTATTTATTTATTTGCTATACTTGTATACCGCTGTTTCTCAGCCTAGCCAGCGACTCAACGCAGTTTACAACAACTTATAACAAACAACAGTATAAGACACAGGCAGAACAGTATAAGACACAGGCAGAAGACAACAAGGAATCCACACAGGGCATGGGCTCCTGCTGTGAACGGTTCAAGTAGTTTCAGTCGTAACAAAGTGCAACAAACACCCAGTAGATATGGGTGAAACGTCAGGAGAGAATGCTTCTGGAACATGGCCATACAGCCTGGAAAACTCACAGCAACCCAGTGATTCCGGCCATGAAAGCCTTTGACAACATCCTAAAGAAATTGCCATGGTATGTTCCAGGAAGAAGAAAAAGTCATCTTAGAAACAAATGCATGTGAAAAGAGAACAAGGTAATACACATAAAGTCCACCACCCTAAATATGTGAATAGGAAAGCACCTTGAAATTATTTCCATTGGGAGTTGCTGTAGGATAGGATTATGGTCTCTTGGTTTTAGAAGTACAAAACTCATGTAAAACGCCTTCTTCTCGAACCCCTGTTTTCTATGGTGTGACAGCACATTGCAATTACTGTAATAAGCTCATAGGAAGGAATGCACACTGAATCCCAGTGGTCCTACAGCACATTTCCCAGAACAGAGGGACACTGCAAGCAATCTCCCAGGAGAAGGCCATTTGTCGTTTGCTGTTACAAATCAAGTGTGGACATAAGTGGTCAATTTTCATGACAGCCGTGAGCAATAGAAGGGCTATTTAGGACTCTATTTAACAGGAGAAATGTCACTACACTTAAGACTCAGGAAGGAATATTCTTTTCTATATTCATTTTACTTCTAATGACTCATGAGATCTGGAGTGTAATTAGAGCTAGAAAAACTCTTAACATAGGCCAAATATACTTCTGAGGTCAAGTAGCTCTGTTATTAGAAAGGTAGATTGCTTTTTATGGGGTGAAGCATGAATAGAGGAAGTCTTTAAGTAGCGTGTGTGGAATTGGGAAAGTCCGGGGAGGGGTTTGTCCTCCTAGGCTCCATCATGGAGTGGTTCCCCTCTTGCTTTTGCATATACCACAATGGCAAAAGGAATTAGACTTGTTCCACTTCTGGTTTTTGAAAAAGAGAATATTTGCACTAATGCTTTTTCATGGTCCTGATAATAGCCAGGACTCCTGGGATATCCCTGAAACTGCAAGACTGGCCTGGGGGTTAAATGTATTGCTCACCTCTGACCTAAGGTCTCAGAAAGCTTGCCCTGCTAGTCTCACTATCATTACTCACTCCCAAAGTGAGAAATGCATGGCCCCCAGGGACAAAAGCAGGCCTGCATGTCAATGAAAATATGCATAGAAGGCCAGAGAAGCACAGGCGAGGGCTGCATTGGTTCTCTACAGAAACACTCACATCCTGCGCAGCTTCTTGTACGATGAGAAAGCTCCAGGAGGGATAGATTTGATGCCGTTCAGCTCCAAACGTCTGCATGGTAAATAAGAGCACAGAAAAAATCAACTTGGGAACCGTTGAAATGCCATTAATGCTGCAAATAGGAAGCAGGAGCATCTGGATAAGAGAATATAGTCTGTATCCTTGAAGAATTCACTTCAACCTATCATTGTTCTTGTATATGTTCAAAACAATTTGGAAATGGATTAAGCACCTATACAGTACATGTGACCAAATCAATGCACCGAATATGTGCATTGATCTAGTCACATATATAGGCTCTTGTTGAGGATATATTGAGAAGTTCATGCAGCATTTGCCCTCTGTTAATGTAACTAGCATCACCGGGCTTGTTTGCCTGTGAAACTAATCAATACCCCTTCAAATGTATGCTGGCTGCAAAGTGACAATCCAAAAATCAAACACCATTTCACCATATACAAACTTTTGCCCATGTTCTACAAAGACCATATTCCCAAAATGTAAATTTTTGCATTTACATTTTGGTGCAGCAAGTTAAACCACTGAGCTGCTGAACTTGCTGACCAAAAGGTTGGCGGTTCGAGTCCGGGGAGCGGGGTGAGCTCTTGCTGTTAGGTCCAGCTTCTGCCATTCTAGCAGTTTAAAAACATGCAAATGTGAGCACATCAATAGGTACTGCTTCTGCGGGAAGGTAACAGTGCTCCATGCAGTCATGCTGGCCACATGACCTGGGAGGTGTCTATGAACAACGCCGGTTCTTCGGCTTAGTAATAAATATGAGTACCACCTCCGACTAGACTTAATGTCACGGGGAAACTTTTACCTTAACTAATTAGTTCTAAACTTTGGCTTGATATACACTGGATATTATTCTATTTAGGAAAATTGTCCATGGGCTATCCATGAGATTTAACACATTAACTCATTGCCATGGTTCAGAGCAGAGCAGTTTATATGAAATGGTCAACAATATAGGCCAGGGGATTGCCTTCACACAAACTACGAATTCATAGTGGCACAGAGTACAAAGTTCTTAATCTGTAGCCTGGAAACAAACAAATAACTTGCTAGATGGAGTTATCAATCATGGTAGTTGTGTCATGTGTACTAATATTTGCTACTGTTCACTTGGAAGTAATGAAGTTCAGACCACTACATTGCAGTTTCCACCTTCCACATTTACATCTTCCACCTCGTCATACTTCTACTCTGGGGGTTGGACTAGATGGCCCATGTGGTCTCTTCCAACTCAATGATTGTATAATTCTACTCACATCTCAGTCATGGTCTCAGGCAAGTTGGCAGGGATGGCTATCAGCCCCTTTCCCCGACAGTCCACAATGCCATTGCTGCAGGTGCACATGGCAGGGCAGGAACCGGATGAAAAACTGCAGATTTGGGCCCTGTTAGCATCATCCTGGCCTACAGAGAAAGGGAAGGATACAGAAGCTCTGTGAGTGCTCCTTCCTTGTGTCATGATGAGCACCTGTGATCTGAAACTCAGCATTTATTTGAGCTTTTAGAAGTATAAATTGAAGCATAGTGAGGAAAGGGAGACAAGGGAATGCACATACAGCAAATATAAGGAGTCCCAGATGTGAACTATTCCAAATATCTTACTTTCAGCAATGTTAAAAAATGGGACTGAAGGAAAATATCATGGGAGGGATCCTCATCTGGGGGCAATGCCCTAATTTTGACCTCTACTATAGTAACACCCTTGATTTTCTTGTAAAGCAGGTGTCAGAGGATTCAGCAGAAATAGCATCCAGTAGTTTCATTTCTGGCTTGTGAGGAAAACCAAGCTCAAGATATCTGAGGAGATTAAGTAAGGATGTGTGAATGTATGAGGCATGGGCATCGATCCATTAAAGTTGTGGTTGTAGTGTCAATCCAAAATTAGGAAAGTGTGTTTTCTGGTCCTTGCTGAGACATCAAAAGCAAGGCTCACAGAAACTCCCATCCCACTTGCACTCTCACACAAAGCTTCCTGGCCCTTTTCTGATGTCACTCACCTGTGCAGGTGAATTCATTCTTCTGGATTTCTGCAACGTTGAGGCCACGTAAAGCAGGAGGACCAGCACACTGAGTGAAGAGCCCGATGGTTGGCCGCTGGCGCAGCCACTGGGAAAGCCAACCCAAATGGCAATCACAGAATAGCTGGTTGGAATGCAAGCGGCTAAAGGGACCCAAGTGTTGGACAGAAGGTCAGGAGCAAAGAAAAAGAATGACATCAATAGCTGTCTTCCCACAGATCCTTTTTTGGTACTCCTACAACATGAAGTCTAGCTAGTAAGCAAAAGATGCCTAATGAGCTTGAATGGAAATGTCAGAAAAAAAAATCCAAAAGAAGCAGCAGTGAAAACTGATCTCCATAATCCATGTGCCATGGGGAAAGGACTGAAATAATCCAGATTCTTGCCCACCATATATCAATAATGCCGAATGTTGTCATATAATAAACCAGAAACTCTATGAATCAAGCTAGGGCTTTTTATGTTTTGAAGGGGATCCTTCTACAGCAGTGGTTCTCAACTTGTGGGTCCCCAGATATTTTGGCCTTCAACTTCCAAAAATCCTAACAGCTGGTAAACTGGCTGGGATTTCTGGGAGTTGTAGGCCAAAACATGTGGGGACCCACAGGTTGAGAACCACTGCTCTACAGAATGACATGACACAAGGGCATGGGTTCATGGTACAGTTCTGGACATTAATTACTGTGTGAGCACATAGGTGCCGAGAAAACAAGTCCAGAGTTCAAAAGGAATTAGTATATGCACCAAAATCCAGAATCCCACAAATGAATACTCAGAGAATGACAGCTGACAGGGCTGATGGCAAACAGGACTTGGTTTATTTAAACCAAGCACCTAAACAATAAGAGGCATGCCAGTTGCCATGTGAAAATAATCATAGCAGCATCTTCTCTTTCTAAATGCGTGTGCATGTGTGTGTATACCTGAAAGGTGGCCAGCCAGTCATATGTACAGCCAGTCATGTTACAAGCAACCATTCAATTTTTGTTTGCATGCGCACACACACACGCACAAACACACACACAAAGTAGTACTTATATCTAAGTAAATGTGTTAGCATAGCAGTAAGTGTATTTAAGTGCCAAGGCTGCAGAAGGAAAACCCATTTAATTTCTCTAGTCACAACAGTGCCTTGATTTAATGTTAATATGTGAAATAGTTCAAGGACAGAATATTTGTTTTCCTTTTTTTTTTGTTAGAACTGACAATCAGGAGTGTGTTATGTTTTTTTTATTATTTCTCACTTCTAAAGTATCAGGTATGTAGATGTAGTTGTATAGCATGGGATAGTGTGCACATGAGTGTATTTATTGGGAATTGACAAGAAATGTTGCTCCTATGCTTCATACTGGGGGAGCCGTGGAAGGGCACTGAAAACATCTAAAATGACTCAGCTGCTCCACAGCTGGCAGGGATCGCCCTGGTGTAATTTCCACTCCCAATTCCCTGTGAAATGCCCCCTCCCCTCCCTTCCCTTCTACCCTCCTCCCCACCCTACTCTTGAACTACTCCCTCAAGTGCTCACAAGGTGCGCAGTTTGGGCATGTGGTTGAAGCTGGAGATAGGGATGGTGGTGATGTTATTGTTGTTCAAGGTCCTGCAAGAAGGAAGAAATAAAGGGCACCAGTGAATGTCTGTGAGTAATATCCTATCAAATTACAGTAGACAAAGCATAATGCTGATTGTTTAGGCATAAATCCAATCATGAGTCCCAACTAGAAGAGACCCATTAAATCAGTTGAATATACATGAGTGATTATTTACTAAATCTATTTTAGTTGGGATTAACCATTACATCTAATGCTTTGTGGGTTTTTTTTTACCATTTGTATTAGATCTCTAAAGCTGCAATCCTATGCACAGTTACATGAAATGAACTGGTGGGACTAACTTCTCAATAGGTATACACACAACTTGACTGAAAATTTCACAGCCTCTTATACCCGAGAGCCTTTATCCATCTGGTCAGATGGAATACCTGTTGGCCCATATGTCGTTCAGTTAAAAAGTTACCCTTCTATGACTTATAATGGAGGTAACAAATAAAATAGCAGGCCCAAGCAGAGTGTAGGGGGGCAAGGCAACCTGTAGTTCATGTACCAGAGAGATTTCCATGGTGTCTGTGCACAAAAGGCAGGCATGTTTATAGGCTGTCTGTTCACCCTACAAAAACAAACCCCTTGCAGTGCCTTTTTTTGGAGATGCTTACAAAACTTCCAAGCCTCGAAGAGCACGGAAAGCGCCTTCTTCAATGCAACTTATGTGGTTCTTATCCAGTTGCCTGCAAAATAAAAGAAAATATTTTTCACTGCAGTGCAGACAAAGTCATACCAAGAATGTTCAGCATGGAGATTCACTTGGACTGAATGAAATGAGGCAAGAGGCTGTGGGTCAAGAGCCATGAGAGAACGGTGAAAACAGGAATTGGGCATGTTGAGGAATGTTATTAGAAGTCCAAGTGTGTTCACATACATTGCATAATATCTTTAAGGCACAATCCAAGAAATCCTTTTTATCGATATTAGCGATTGTGGGAGTTTTATGGGATCTTTCCCCCAATCAGAGCATATATTCAGGGGATATGCAGCAAAGTACAACAACATCCACAAGAGAGTGAAAATGTAGGCGTGTAATTCTAACATCATCAGATCTCTTGTCCTTTATGATTTTTAACATCTTTGCCTTCTTCACTGAAGAATCCAGTGAAGATTCAAAACCTTGCATTATGTATTCTGTTTATTTTGGTTGGCCAATAAGTACCATATATACTCAAGTATAAGCTGAAATTTTCAGCCCTTTTTAAGGCTGAAAAAGCCCCCTTCGGCTTATAATCGAGTCAAGTTATTTATTATTTTTACTCTGTTGTTGTTATTATTATTATTACATTTATTATTTACTCTATTGTTATTATTACACTTACATTATTTTACCCTATTATTATTATTACATTTATTATTTTACACTATTTATTATTTTTATGACATTTATTATTTTACTCTATTTTATTATTATTACATTTATTATTTTATTCTATTATTATCACATTCATTTTTTCTCTACTATTATTATATTTATTATTTTGCTCTATTTATTATTATTACATTTATTATTTTATTCTATTATTATTACATTTATTATTTTACTCTATTATTACATAAATATTCAAAAAATATTTAATCTACTGACACCTCAATTAATGTAATTTTATTGCTATCTATTTTTATTTTGAAATCTACCAGTAGCTGCTGCATTTCCCACCATCAGCTTATACTCAAGTCAATACGTTTTTTGTGATAAAATATTTTTGCGGCTTATATTCGGGTCAGCTTATACTCGAGTATATATGGTAAGTGTTTTTCTGGGGATTTTCTTTTACACAGAACCCAAATATACACCAGAGATATATTCCAAACACCCATTCTGTGGATATTCGAAACTGCAGGTAATAGCAAACCCAATATTTTGGCTATGCCTGAGCCAAAAGCAAACCATAGACTGACACTGGATGATCTAGAAAGGCCCTCAAACACCTCCAGGAGTGAATATTTTTTTGGAGTGTGGATACATAAAAAACAAGAATACTGAGTCCATGGATAAGGGGCAGCACTGTATTTCATTTTGGGTGGCTAGTTTGGCACTGTGAAATACCAAAGCAAATACGAAACACAATGTGCAGGTCTCCCGGAACAGGCACTATGTCGTTTTCCCAGCATTTCCTGCCAAACCATTGCCACTCACAGGTTCTTGAGGTCAGTAGCTCCACGGAATGCCTTCCTGGGCACAGCTTGGAGGAGGTTCTCACTCAGGTCCCTGCATATGACAAATTTGAGAAAATAATTTATTAGCAAAGAGTCCATGAGAGATTAATAAGATGAGAGATCATAGTATAGGACTAAGAGAAAAAACTCAGCAATGGTTATGCTCTGCACATGTTCAGAGACATTTTCATTATTATAATTTTACAGATCAAGTATCCCTTATCTGGAATTCCAAAATAAAAATTACTCCAAATCATCCCCAGGTGTAACTGAAGCACAGCTGATTAATCACCAGCTGCAATAGATCACTGCGTGACAGGTTCAAAGCCCGAGTCAGATTGAGCACCTGACTGAGTACCTAGCTTACTGTCCACCTAAGTAGTTCAAAAACAGCTGAGCTGTGAGTAGTGAAATTAGGGACCGCTTAAAGCACGGAGGTATTTTATGACACCATAAAAATGCCAGAGGTCAAAGAGCAAGGAGGAAATACGATCAAAATGTTTTGGCATAATAGTGGATGAAGCGTCAGCTCCCCCTGTGGCCGGAATTGAGCTTAACCTCCAGGCACCAAAGTGGAAATGTCAAAAATGCCTCTACCTGTCTGTCTGCATGTCTAGAAAATGACATTAAATGTTTGCCATGTATGTGTGCATTGTGATCTGCCCAGAGTCCCTTTCGGGGTGAGAAGAGCAGAATATAAATACTGTAATAAATAAATAAATAAATATTTTTCAGGCTGTATGGCCATGTTCTAGAAGCATTCTCTCCTGATGTTTCACCTGCATCTATGGCAGGCATCCTCTGAGGTTGTGAGGTCTTCCAACCTCTGAGGATGCCTGCCATAGATGCAGGCAAAATGTCAGGAGAGAACGCTTCTAGAATATGGCCATACAGCCCAAAAAATCTACAACAATCCAGTAATTCTGGCCATGAAAGCCTTCGACAATACAAATAAATAAATAAATAACTGAGAYAGTGGCATCTTTGTTTTCTAATGGTCCAGTTTACACAAACTTTGTATATATGCACAAAATTATAATTTTTAAAATATTGTTCATAAAATTATCTTCAGGCTATGTGCATAAGATGTATATAAAACAAATGAATGTTGTATTTAGACATCTCCCATCTCCAAAATCTCCAGGCCTTTGATTTTTGATATTGCTGTTTTTAAATTGTTTTAAATTCTTTTTATATTGTGTTAGATTTTAGCCATTCTTGTAAGCCGCTCCGAGCCCCAGGGGAGTGGCAGCATATAAGTTCAAATAATAAATAAATAAATAAATAATCTAATCATATATACATATTCCAAATTTGGAAAAAAAATCGAAATATGGAATTTGTCTCATCCCAAGTATTTCAGATAAGGGATGCTCAGACTGTACTTGTACTATACATATATATTGGCAATGAACTGATTCTGTATGGCTTTGTTTTTACCAAACACCCTCCCGGACAAAGGCACAGCAAGATGTTAAGTGACCCAGTTATGTGATAGATGATTCATCTTAAGCCACTTCAGTTAAAAGAAGCAGCAAGATGAGATAAGATGGGCAATCATATAGACATGTTACACAATTTAAATGAGAACACATTTTAAAATCCTACTGCCATCCGATTTAAGATGAGTTACAAAAAGAACTGAAGCATCACTACAGAGAAATAGAACTCTTTTGTCTTAATATGCCATTGGCTGAACAGAAATTTCCAATCAAACAATAATATATTCATCTATTAAATGGCTAGGCATACAAGGTCAGCTGAGGACATTCATTCAAATATGAAGAAAAATTACCCACCACAATGGGGGTGGGGAGCTCACGGGATAACTAAAGAACTAATCAGCTTCGAAAGCAAAATAGGCTATCTATTCGAGGAGAAATAGCCACCATCAAAATGACAGCCTTCTAACTTAAGCAAATGATACTTGATAGGGGGCATGACTTGTCCTGTTGGTTTTAATGGAACTCCTGACAACAACAACAACAACAACAACAACAAGCCCTTCAGAACTGATCAGGAATGATAATTGTCTTATCACACACAACTTACAGGTAAAATATCAGCTTACTATGCAATGATATTGCAAGCCTTGTGTCCATAGGTATGTGTTTTAATACCCCTCATCTCCCTATTTTACTGTCCCAAGTCAACTCCAATTCAGAAATCCAAGCAAATATTCATGATGATGCCACAAGAATATCTTCCAAGCCAAAGATCTCTTTCATTTGACAAGCTTTTCGTGAGATAGTAGAGGATAAATGGAAAATACATGGAGTTGCCTTTGAAGACGGCCCAGAAGCTTCAACTAATCCAATGGGCGGCAGCCAGACTTCTAACTTGAGCAGCGTACAACACAACTCCTCTGTTGCACCAGCTCTACTGGCTGCCAATATGCTACTGAGCCCAATTTAAAGTGCTAGTCTTGGCCTATGAAGCCCTAAATGGTTCTAGTCCAACTCATCTGTCTGAATGCATCTCCTCCTATGAGCCTACTAGTACTTTAAGATCATCTGGGGAGGCTCTGCTCTCAGTCCCACCTTCTTTGCAAGCACGATTGGTGGGAACGAGAGACAGGGCCTTCTCAGTGGTGGCTCCTCCACTGTGGAACTCCCTCCCCAGCAACATCAGGCAGGCTCCATCTCATCAGGCTTTCAGAAAAAAAGGCTAAAGACTTGGCTTTGCACACAAGTGTTCGAAGAATAAGTTACTACAGGTTTCAACACGGTCTGAATGAAAGATTTGAGCAAGGTTATCGGATGAATGGAGCTAGGACATTAAGATCGTCTGAGGAGGCCCTGCTCTCGGTCCCGCCTGCATCACAAGTACGGTTGGCGGGGATGAGAGACAGGGCCTTCACAGTGGTGGCCCCTCGGCTGTGGAACGCCCTTTCCACAGAAGTTAGATCGGTCCCCTCCCTGTTAGCATTTCGGAGGAAATTGAAGACCTGGTTGTTCGAGCAGGCATTTGAATAGGCAGTGTAACTAATATAGAAATATGGAACAATTGGACGATGAGACTGGATCTTGAATTTAACTATGAGATGATATTAGATGTTATGATGTTTATTGATTGTTATAATGTTATTCTTTTAAAATGTTCTTAACTGTCTTTATCATGTTTAAGTATTGTATTTGCTATTGTGAACCACTCTGAGTCGCCCTGAGGGCTGAGAAAAGCGGTATACAAATATAGTAAATAAATAAATAAATAAATAAACTATGCACCTTATATGTTTTTAATTTGTATAATGTTTTACGTGTATTATTGATGAACTGTTAATCGTTTTAACTGTGGGATATGTTTTTACTGTTTATTGTTGGTTTTTCACTGGCACTGAATTTTTGCTGGAGCTGTAAGTTGTCTTGAGCCCCCTCGGGTGAGAAAGGCGGAGAAAAAATGAAGTAAATAAAAATAAATAAATAAAATAAAATGAATGCAGACACATATGACCAACATTTTTTTTGATATGTGTTCTAATATTCTTTTTTTAAATAGTTTTTATTGAATTTTTCACCAATATTAACATATGACAAAAAAGAAAAAGAAAAAAAGAAAGAAATACATACATTCCCCTTCACCACACCAAATCCCACAAACCCGCTTAGAAAAAAAAGAAAAGAAAAGACAAAAAGCATAAACAATTTCCTACCCTACACCCTAGTGTGACTTCCTTTCTTCTTACTTTCCTCTAATATATTTTCTGTCTTCCCCTGCTCTGTTTCTTTTTCGTTCCAACTTCACTTATTATTATAATAGTCAGGGGACTATGTACATTACTTCTCACTCTCTTGTTTAGCTTTCTTTTATCCAGTCTTTCCTTTCAATATATTCTTCCAAAAGTTTCCAATCTGTTGGTTTCATACCTTGTCCGTTACTTTGTCTTAACCAATATGTTAACTCGTCCATATCTTTAATATCAGTAATTTTTTTAATCCAATCCATTTTTTGAGGGATTTTTTCCTGTTTCCATAATTTAGCTAATATCATTCTTGCCACTGTGGCAAAAAAGGTAAACAATTTCTCTTTGTTTTTGTCTCTAAATATGTCCGAATCGAACATACCCAGTAAATACATCTCTGGCCTAAGTGGAAATTCCATTTTTAATATTGTTTTACATTCTGTATGAATCATTTTCCAATATTTGTTAATTTTTTCACATGACCACCAAAGGTGGTAGAAACTTCCTTCTTGATTTTTACACTTCCAACACTTATTGTCAACCTGTTTATACATACTATTCAGTTTTTGGGGAGTCATATACCACCTATGTAGCATCTTTAGCCAATTTTCTTGAAGGTCCGATGCATATGTGTATTTCAATCTCTTTGTCCATATTTCTTCCCACTCTTCAAGTCGAATTGACCTCCCAATGTTTTTGGCCCATCGAATCATTGAATCTTTTATGACTTCCCTTTCAGTCGCCCATTCTAACAACTTACTATACAGTTTTGTAATTATCTTTTTTTCCCCTTTCTGTATTTTATCCCAGAAGTCTTCTTTATTCCCAAATCCTGTTTCTTTGTCTCGTTTATATGCTTCCTGCACTTGCCTATAGTGAAACCGTGAGACATTTTTGAATTTACTCCTAATTTCTTCCTGCGATTTCAGTTCATAGGTATCTCCTTTTTTGATTAACATGTCACTATATGTTGGCCAATGCGTCCAACCTAACAGTCGTCTTTGATTTGCTTCCAGGGGCGAAATCCATTGAGGGGTTTTCTCGAATAGATAGTTTTTATAGTGTTCCCAAACTTTTATCAGCGATGACCTTATAAAATGGTTACCAAAGTTCTTTTCTTTACGCTTCCCTTCGTACCACATATATGAATGCCATCCTTTCCTAAGGTCGAAACCTTCTAGTGTTAGAATTTTTGTTTTGACTAGTTTACTCCATTCTATGGTCCACATTAAGGCTGCTGCTTCATAGTACAATTTTAAATTTGGTAGCCCAAAGCCTCCCTTTTCTTTCGAGGTATTCATTATTGTTACATTAATTCTTGGTTTTTTGTTTTTCCACACGAATTTCGTGATATCTCCATTCCATTCTTT